TGAAAGTGAAACACAACAATTTTGCAAGATTTAATTGTTTACATAATCAAGAACTGTCTTAAGATGACAGCGCCACTACTACCTACCTCCATGATAAGATAACATTTGAATCATACTATAATCTTCACATTTTCATGTGCTTATAATGTCAAAATTACTTTTATTTTATCACTTTGCTATTTACATCACTTAGAACTGAAACATTCTTGCTTGGTTTTATCCACGTGATGAATATCCTTGGACTACCTCAGGCAAATCACATCAGACATTTGGATTACTCATGAGAGCTAAGGAGAGGAAATACATCTCTGTAGCTGATGCAATTTTGTTTAGTAGCCAAGGATATTTTTAGAATACAGAAGGAAAAACACCAGACAAGAAAAGACTTGTAAAGGAACCCCAGACAAACACACCAGAAATAGAGCAGATAGATGTATGCAAAACCAAACAGTTTCCGAGGGCCAGATAAATCTTTAAATTGTTACCTTCCATACTGTCCTAGCATTAATGAGAAGGCAGAAAGATATCGGTATATAAATTTTAAATGACAAGAACAAACTACATTTGATACTACTTTGTCTTTGGTTGCCTCCATTTTAACATCTGATAAGCCTGGTGTTGAAAGAAAGAAATGTTAAGAGACCTACTTGAATGAGCAATAGAAGAGAGAGAATACAGAATTGGACCATCACTGTGACCGCTGACAAAGTGGGTTGGTCTTCTACTAGAATGGCACACAGAACAATAGAGAAACTACACATGCTACTGAAGAAACACATCTCTCACAAAAATACCCAAATTACAGCAGAAGCAAAGTGGAGAGAAAAAACAGTGACAATAGATGAGGAGAAAGAAGTATGGATTAAGAATTAGTCCAGGCTCTACAAATGTGAAACAGTCCTCAAGAAAGACAGAAAAAAATGCTGATGGACATTTTAGATATGTGCTGTGCTAGGAAGACTTGAGAGTTGTGATCGAAGGTTATGGAACAAAGAGAGACTGCATGAGACATTCCTCCATGCAAATAAGACAATAAGACACAGCGGGCAGAAAATGATTAACAATTTATATCAATAACCCAGTGGTAATTAGAGCTTTACTGCAGCTTTACAGTGCAGAGATAGTGAGGAATATTCCTGTGGTGTTGTCAAGGTAACCTGCAAGTATGTAGGTGTGCAATTCTGCTGGTGTTTGTATCAAATGATGGAGAACTAAGGAAATGAGAGCCAACATGTGCAGAATCTGCATTTCCTTAAACTGAAAAAGCTGAGGCTTTAATTTGGAGAGCAAGTAACACTGGAGTAAATGCTAGGAGGAATTGTGTGCTAGAGCACACTAATTCCATGGAGATGGAGTCTCCTCCTATGTTTAAGACCAACAGAGTAGAAACATGGCACAGTCTGGAGAAATAAGCTACTTTCAGATACACTGCTGATATGCTGTGAAAGGCTTGACTGCTTCATTAATTCCCTGAGTGCTACAGATACATCTTATGGTTTATATCTTTAGCATCAGCACCCATGTTAACCACTACATACTTTTGCTAATTATGCATTATTTAAAATTATGTTTCTGAATTTTGATTTGAATCATGATTCCTTACCAGCTAGAGTGCCACAAGCATTTCTTTTTTGATTCATGCTACCTTCTTGGCCAGTTTATTAAAAGAGAAACAAAAAGAGGCAGTTAACACAAACAAATTTTACTTTGCAAAAAAAGGGAGACACAAGTAAAAGAAGGGATAAGAAAACACACTCTGCCAGTTACTGAGGCTCCAATGAGATCTGACAACTTGTTGAGCTCTGACCAGTTCCTAGCACTGATCCAACAAGCTTATTCTGGCACCAAATGATGCTGGACTGCTTAAAGGCCCATCAAACCTCGCTCCCCTCTGGTCTCCCTCTCTTCTGCCCATCCTCCTCTTGTACAGGTCTGTCACAGACAGTGGCAGAACTGCTGAAATCCCTGGGCTTCTCTCACCCTGCCCCCCAAAAAGGGCAGTTTGTGCCATCAGCCTCCTCCAGAACTGTGACTGATTAAAGACAAATTCTGCAAGGCCTATATAAGGGGAGGAAAAAAAACTCTCACAGTGATTCACAGTAAAATGTAAAAAAAGCACTGTAATGATGCTAAGCAATCTAAAAAAAACCAAAAAGATAGGAACTCTTAAGGCTCTGTTTTAAAGTGTACATGCCACTAAGTAATGCTAACTACAAAGTCCTTGAAGCGCTGATGAAATTTCGAGTATACAATGAGCTAATTCACTTCTTAATAAATCATACTTTTGTGCGTAGCTTTTGATCTCAGCAAAGACACGTGATTTCCCACATACTTCTGGAATACTATGCTGGAACATTACAAACATAGACGAAAAAATAATCTTTTCAGTGAGCTCCTATTTACTATGGAGTATTTTGTTACTCAGTAGTCACTGTATTCTCCACTATTCACATGAGCAGATGAGGCTTCCCACGCTTGACTCAAAAAGGGCTGATGCAGAATTAAACTCAGCCACAGGCATGCAGAAGTGAGCTCTTACCAGGCTCAGTGCTAGCTGTCCACTCATGGAAAGCCACCTGCCATGCTCTCAGACCAGAGACATAATGTATACACTTAAACACAGTGATGTCATCCTAACTTGCTGCTCTGATGGACATCCACCAATTCAAAAGCTTTCTGCTACACCACAGTTTTCACCTACTCCCCAAACGAAAGAGTGAGGTGGGCTGAAGCCAGGTTGACATCAACTACCAACTCCTAGATCCTGTCAGTCCAGAACATCTGCCAGACTGATAGGAACAATTTTCCCTGAAGTTATGCTGAAATATATACATCATGAAATGTAGGCAGGGCACTATATTTTTAATCTAGAATTCATAGGATTATGTCGAGAAAAAAATAAACAGAAGAGAATCCTGATCAAGCAGCAATTTGCACAGGGTTAATAAGCAAAATGGTTGCACAAAACAAGCCTCTTTAATTTGTGGACTTCAGAACAGTTCACAAACCACTACAGAAATTCTAAGTGTATACTAGAGCCAGGGACAGACAGAAAACTCCAACTGAATGTGTAATTTATTTAGGTCATAACTAAATGAACTGTTAAAACACTCAGAAGTAGATTAAAGGCAGAAAAAAATATGCTCCAAGTAATTCTTAGTGTCTCAGATATTCATCGAAGACTCTGTATGCCCAAAGAACAAATACAATGGGCAAAAAATCAACTTGGGATCCTCAAGGACATCAAACAAACTGCTGTCATTTATCATTCCCTTCAGCCACATTCACCCACAAACCCCTACAAAACTCAGTTTCAGTCCCTTTCCAAATACAAGACATTGATGAGTGACAGGCCATCAGAACCCACAGCAACACAGCTGAACTCCCCCAAAGTAGACTTCAGAATCTTCAGCAACAGTCAAGGCATAGCACTTCTGCAGAAGAGCCTTCTCTGTCACTCATTGTTGCCCCATTTCCCAGACACTGTTCTGCTCCCTGGGAAGGGAATATCTCTGTACTTGCCTAAAAATACTCCCAGAAGCACAGAGCTCACAAAGAGCGACAGAGCTGAGCTATGGCAATATCCCTTAGATGTCCCAAAGACACCACAGCAGCACCTTTCCCCCTGGAGGATGCTACTAGGATGGACTGTATGTGATACTTATGCCAATCCCTACATAGCTTAGGTAACAAGGGGCTGCAAAGATGTTGGGTGAATTCTGGCCAAAACTTTGGAAGTTTCAAAGAAGAGGTCTGCTGGACGAATTCCCCCAGCACTGCAAAGTTAGGGAAGCAGCTAACAAAGGAACATGCTTATGGAAATGAAAACCCAGCAGATGTGATTCAAGCCCCTCAAACAGCACTTTGCCAAATCTGCCTGAATGCAAGATGAGTTTGTTTGCATTCACAAAATAAATGGAACATAAGTAAAGAGGAAGGGCTGTAGGCAAGCCAGCCATAGGTGTTGATATGAGTAGGGGCTGGGATCACACAGAGGATGGAAGTGGCTGAAACTCAAAATCTTCTGCAAGAAAAAAATTCAGAATAGCTTTTCTTCTGTACGAGAATAAAACTGGTTTTAAGAATGTCCTGCACAATGGGTATTCTGAAATATTGTTTTGAAAAACATTTAATAAAGTATTTTGTTCCAAGTTCCTGATTAAAACCCTTGAGTGGATCAGAAAAATGACAATGACTAGTGATAAATTATAGAGATATTTGAAAAAATTATAGAGCAGTGTTCTTTGCTACCTTCACCTGCAGCAAGGAAAATCTACTAATCAGTTAATATTTTCCATTCAGCTTAGTAGCTTGTACTTTTTAAACAAGACTACAAACTGTACCATGAATACTTCTTTTGCCCACGGGAAGAAACGAACTACAAAAGTAAGAGATTCTGTGTTTGATTTTGCTTTTGCAAAACAATGTAGTTAGAAGTCTCTAAGGAGATATTCTAGAATCAATTGCATTAAAATATGCACTGAGAGTCAAACAGCATATCAGAATACAAAAGAAGCACAAAAAAGGCACACTCCTTAGTGAAATGAGCACATATTATTAAAAAGGTAATCTGCAGTTACTATTGGATTGGATTCTGGTCTTGTGGTGTGAAAGTTCTGAATATTATTTCAACATTTAGGAACCAAAATACTCATTTGTTTTGATCTTTGGTTTTAAAGTGAAATCAGAATTGAGATATGTGAGGTCTATTTCAAATTTCTTTCAGACTCTAGTCTGCTCCCACGATTCCAAACGTCCAGAACATTAGCCATCAGTGAACATAGACTCTAACACAAATGTATGTGAGCTCTTTGCAGTGACTAACAATGCTGCATCACCAACAAGAAGGGATCTCTTTTCTTTTAAGCACACTCCACAGAGCTGAGGTTGTGCTTACAACCTTTTAACTTGGCTGTACAGATCACAGATTAAAAGTAAGAGAAGCAGGGTCAAAACTCATGTAACTAGATAAAAGGCTTCACCCTGAACAAGACACATACCTTTGTGGTATATAAAACATGTGCTGCGGAGGGGGTTTGTAGAGAACTCCTTCATACACAGGCCACAAACCACTTAAAATTCTGAAGAGCGAACTCTTTCCACAGCCATTGGGTCCAGTGATTAAAAGATTCATCCCCTCCTCGACCTGTAAAGAGGAGGAAAACACAAAGATGTTACTATGCAATGTATGTGGCACAAGACAGTCTAAGAGCCCTAAGAGGGAGTTACATGAGCATTTATATCAAATTATCAACCCATTTCATTGATTACCTGCACATATTCATGCAACTATACTGGAAACAGTGGCTTTATATATAATATGTGGGCTGAGATAATGAAAATAATTTCTATTATGTCTGAGTGTCTCTATAAACTACTGATTATTACAGTGTCAATTATTATTAATATTACAGTGTCAATACACCACAATCAGAATCAATTATTCTAATGCAGATTAGGTCCAAGGGTGTTAACGGAGCACTGAGCAGCACTGTGCCTACCTCTGATATTAACTGCAGAAATGGGAGGCCTATCAAATTATTCAGAAAATTTAATTCATATTGCCTTTTCCCACTTAATTACCTGTGTTAGTTTGGCTATAATCCACTTTTTTTTACTCATTTGAATATTACCCTGAGTATATATGAGTGTATATTTATGCATAATCACAATGCTATTGTCTGTGCTTTACAGAAATATATTGACTGTTATATTTTCTTTGTTTCTGTCTCTTGAGCCAAATGAATAAATATAAATGTCTGCTTGACCATAAAGTTATGATTTTACAAATCTGAAATTCCTACACTGAAGTTATTGCAGGTTTTGCTATAGCTAGGACCCTTTTCACCTAGTTCCTAATTCCTACACCACAGAGGTGGCAAAAGGAACACTGCTTTAGCTAAATTAGAAGACCTGCTGGAATTGTTCATGTTAGTGTTCTGATAACTTCAGCTCTTTTTAAAAGTAGTAACACCTGCAATGGAATATCAGATCAGGATACATATGGGAGTAATTCAGTAAAGGTCATTCATTAAAATTGTGAGCAGGTAGCAAGAAGTATCTGAAATAGGTTTTTAAAAACAATAAAGTTTGTACTGAGTAAATACTCCCCAGCTGGGCTTGTGAACAATGCTGTCAGCTGTTAGCCAGCACTGCTCTTTGTGGTGATCAAGTGAAACTACAGACTTGATTTTTTCACTGTTGCTGTGAGCTCAGACTTTTAAAGGAGCCTGTGTGAGTAAAGCATCCCAATTCCATTGAAGTTAACTAAAGATGGATGCATACTGCCATATTCACCTTTGAAAATCTCAGTTTGGTTTTTCACCTGGCAAAAGCACCAGAAATCCTCCCTTCTCTTTCTTTGAGCAGGATAAACTACATATGTCTGCCTCTATCAAGCTACTATGCCTACCTTTCTGGACTTTCCCTTTTATCCATATGCTCCTCCAAGTACTTAACATAAGGTATATGAATTCTGTGCTGTTTATGTTAATGTGATGGCAACAATCAGAAGATTCTTGCATATCATCTTACTTTGAAGTTTAGTCTGGAAACCACCACATCGCCATTCGGAGTAATAATAGGAACATTTTCACAAATAATTCCTTGATCAACATCAATTACTTTCCCTAGAAAGAAAAAAAATAAAAATTAACAGTTTGCAAAGCCTTCCACTAAGCAATGATTTGTGACAGTCTCTGTGCACGGCTGAGAAGTACAGACTGGTGTTTGAAACAGCTCTCTTATGTGCTCCAGTGGAAAATCTGAATAATAAATCTTAGCTAGTCAGAAAGACACTGTCAGTAGTAGCAAAGAATGTGCAATGAATCCTAAATTTGATCCTAAACATAATGCACAGTATGCATCACAAATACATGATGCACTGTAACGATGTGTTCATTTAAATTCTACCTGTATTTACTATATTTTATTTGAAATAGCTGTTTAATACCAATCAATAAAAAAGTTCAAGGACAGCCTTAGCCACGGGCAGACCAGTGAACCTTCTTTTGAGGATTTAATTAGAAATCACTACCAGCCCTGAAAGTTGGAGCACATTTCAGTCTCCTCCAGCAACAAAAGCAAAAGAAAAAAAGGTTTAATGGCTTGCTTCCATCTCTTTTTGATGCCACAGACACTGCAAACGTGTCTTGTAAGTATTTGCAGAAGATCATGTAACATTTCCATCAGGTACATACACTTAGTATTTCGATTTCTGGCAAATTTAAATATGCAATCTCTATCAGACATTTGGATACACTGTAACACAAGGACTTCAAAATGAATTCTCCTGGAATCAGTAAAAAAATGAAACTAATTCTAACTTCTCAGTCGCCTGTTAACAGACTTCTCTAACAGAACCTGACCCCTTGGGTTCCTAGACAAATATCAGAAATTACCTTTACAGAAAAGATGCAAAGGAAAGAGATTTCTCTTTGTATTAGAAAGCTGTTTATTTACAACTTAGACTACTCTGAACAAAGAAAATGTAAGTAATGCAAAGCTGAGTTCATTATAAAAGGCTCTGGTAGCGTTTCCTTCAGTTAAGGTTAGTTTTACATTTTCCATATAGAGGCTCTTTTTTCAATTGCTTGCAACTTTGTCAAACTATAACAACCTGGGCAAAAATTTCTGTGCCATGCAGCAGTCCCAGAATTCTTTTTTTCCCATAATAAGTTTTACTTAAAACAGTTCTGTGGTGTCCAGTATGAGATTATGGGGAAAAAAAGTGTTTTGCTGTTAAAAGAAATTACTTGGATACAGTGGAGACACTGTAGTTAAAATAAATCTAGGATAAAATACAGTAAGCTAGTAAGCATTAAGTATACTTAATTCTCATTTCCTAATCCCAACTTCACAGCATTTGATTGCAACTTTAGTATGCTTTTAAAATATATTTATGTGTAATCAGAAATACAATTTGATAGTATTTGTACAAGATGTACAAAATCCTATTTAATTTTTTAAATTATGAATTATTAGTTACACTATAAAGCAGAATTATTATCATGTTCATATTTTCACATTCTTACTGACAACAGTAAATACAAGGCACAAAACAGACATCGGTTAGTTACACAGACTTATATTGGATGATCCAAAAGGAAATAAGTATTATATTTTCAGAGTCACTGGGGAAGCTGAATACTAAGATTTTTCTTTTCTAACAATGCAGACATGTGTACTTTTATCCACACACAAATCCACTATTCAGGGATTTCTGAAGTATCAAGACCAAAACAAAGGAGGAAAAACACTATTACAACAGGACTTGTCATAAAAAGTGTGGAGCCTGTGGCCTAGATTCATCTGGCCTAAATTCTTTTTAAATCCTTGTGCACAATGCTTGGTCTTGGCTAGCTGCCTCTGAGAGCTACAACCACTCAAGAACAAATGCTAGTCACCATGGCTTAGGAGGAATTCAGACTGGATGAAATGTAGTGGAATGAAATCTTGGGAAAAGGTTGCAGAGAAAAAAGGAGGGGGGTTTATGTATACTAGACCAAAAGGGAACATAAACAACATGCCTGCATATCTGAATTGTATTTGGGATTCGTTTTATAAAAAGAGTCCCCAAATTACTTTGTTGCTTCAGGAACTACAAACCTTTTCTCATGTACATGACAAAATGCAACAATTATAAAATGCTATTTCTTTTAATGTCAGCCAAATATTACCAAGATCTACAAAATTAAGACATCAGCTATTTCCACACCTACCCACCATGCTGCATCAGACTGTTGTGAAGGACCTTGTCAGAGGACCTTTGAGAAATCTAAGCTGAAGGGCAGCACTGTTGAAATTACTGCAAGAAGTTATTTCATAAAGAGCCCTTTGAGGTCCTTAACTCTACTGAGGCTTAAGTTTCCAAAAGCCAAAGGGAGGGAATGAGGCTTTTCAACATCACAGAGAGGAGCAGCAGAAATGGTCTGTTGGGAAAGTGAGGATAAAGCCATTGCAAAAGCTGCCTTTAAGTACAACAGACAGAAGCTGGATGCAAGAGGCAGAGAGAGGCATCACATAATGGAGCACGGCAAGAAACAGATGTACACAGTAAATGCTCCAGGGACAGTGGAGACAGAAAGATAGTGGCACCAGAAAGATACAGGATAAGGACAGGAGGGAAAAAGTTTATGCTGATCATTTGAGAGGTGAGGACAAGGGTGAAGTTGTTTTTTCAGTTGAAGATTCCCACTAAATTATGAAAAAATGAGCACAGGCTGAACTTTAATCATTGAAAACATAGTATTTTTGTCAAAAACTACTGAACCAATCTGTTCTTCCCTTCTGCCTCAAACAAAATAATGTGATGTTTGAAGATGAAAATGTTAGTCCCAGCTTTCTGAAAAAATGAAGTGTCCGAGGAAAACAGGCACTGTCTGTGTAAGAATAATAATATCACCACCATCAATAATAATGTAGTTGAAATGCCTTTTTCATTTGAAGTTTTCACAGAAAAAAATTGAGTCATTTTGTGTATAAGAAAAGCATACCTTAAGGACAGAATTACAAGACAGCAGGAGGTTAAAATGAAAGGTAACATGGCCTCTGTGGCATTTAGGCTGAGAGGTAAATTAGTTGTAGAAAAAACCTCTCTGTTCACTCCTGTCCCACTGCACCATGCCTCCCTCCCATCCCCTGGGAAACAGACACAAATATGAATTAATTACCTTTGATTTCTAAGGGCCCATCAATGTGTAACTCTGCTTTGTCTTCATTCTTGCTGTTGTTTACAGACCCTTGAATAACAGCAGTTCTTTTGTAGATGCCTCTCTTCACCTCATCAAAGACTGAAAACATGTTGTAGACACGGGCAGTGTATCCTGCTAGCTCAGTGACCTGAGAAACAATAAATGCCTCATTTCAGTGATACTCCACAAATTCTACTAACCAAATGTTTGGTCAACGATCAACAGGATCAACAAAGCGTCCTTCAACACCAATCCATTTTCATTCCTCAAGATTCTGTGCTAATCCATATGCCACTCATAGCTGCTACCAGCCAGCAGAAAGGACAGTTTGATTTCAGCCAATGTAAGCTATGATAACTCCAATAAATGAAGAGGTTGCAGAGACTGATCTTTTTTGTGGATCAGGAGTCTTCAAGCAGCAGAGAATAGCTACTAACATATCTGAAAACAGATAGCCTGTCATACAAGAGATAAACAAAATTTCTGAATTTTCCAGAAAAAATAAAGGTCCACAGAAGTGAGAAGAATGGCATCTATAATTATTTATGTTTATTTCCGTTTTTTCCTGAAACCTCCTGTGGGAAAAGTGTGCTTTTCTGTGTACAAGAGAAGCACTAGGGCATCCTAATTTAAAATACAGTACAAACCAGAAATTATTCTTCTGGCAACTGCATGCTGCAGCACCAGAACTAAATCTGAGACCTTGGATTAGAACTGGGAGTTTCTAAGATGGTAAGGTCTCTTAAAAGGCTTTCTCAATTTTTTTTGGTCCTTTTGTCACAATTTACACCTGGTAAAGACAGAAACAACAGATCCCTGGACCTAGTAACTTACTATTCTTGAGCAGCAACACCACCAAGAGCTCATAAAGAACTGCCTCCATCTGCTGGCAGCGAAGAATTAAACCCAGGCCTCTTATTATAAATTAGATGGATTTAAAAGGATTAATTTTATACTAAATGCATAGAGAAAAAGAAGAATAGCAACAAAATTAGATAAAGATTATAAAATCTTTAGCTTGCTGTGGTTAAATACATACACTCCATGACTGAGATCACCTGTTACAGCATACATAATTCCAACTGTAAGCTTCACTATTTGTGCCAGACTCAGAAGTGAGTGTTAGTTCTGGCCACATGGCCATCACTCCATTGGAGGGTGATGGAAAGAATCCTGCATGTTACAAACGAAACTTGTACCAGCTGTTCTCCACAAGAAACATAACTTGTAGTAAGTTTCTAGACAATGACCCTACAGACTCACTTTGTCAAAACTCTAAATACTCCCACCTGAACAGCTGACTGCAAAGAAAAGTCGAGTCCTCCTCTGCATACTGAATTACATTGTCTTGAAGAAGGCTGCCTTGGTGGATCAGGTGGGCAAGAACTGGAACTGCACTACCACTTGAAGTGGGTTGAAGTACACTGTCCTGTGGAAACTGCCCGAGTCATGAAACGGGAATGACAATGTGGTTAAAGCACTGCCACATCTCTTGAAGAGAAGTGTAAATGTAAAATTAAGATGGAAATTCATAGAATTGGTCTTGTTATAAAAAAGTGAGTTTGTTCAGTTCTTCTACTACATGGTGGATATTTTTGTTTCCAAAAAACAAACCCCCAGAGTTTCTAAGTCCTCATGTACATTATATAAATGACTTAAATGTTGAAAATACAATAGAAATTACATCAGTGTATAATAGGTTATCTGGTAGTATCTTTAGAGCAGAGGCCAAGCAGGGAAACAGCTAAAGGAGCATAGGTCAAAATCATAGCCCATTAGAAGGATTCCTTCTGAAAACAGCACAGACTCTGGCTTTGTCAAAGTCTGTATCTGAAGGCACCAAACTACCCCACCTCTGCCAATTTACAAAGCTGTAGCTATTATGGCTGGATTCCAAGTAACAGAATCCATAGTCTTTGATTAGCTGCCTAGTTAATGCATGCCTCCTCACACTGCACTGGGAAAAGGGGTTCCCACCAAAGGGCCAAGCAAACACCAATTAACAAATGCAGAATCAACATTGAGAAGGAAATGTTGAGGAGAATAACAGCACCGTCTCACTTTTCTTTGGCTTAACAGCTGGCACCTAGAGAAATCCCCAAGAGACCACAGATGAAAGCCCAACTTTACTGGAATTTGGGTAAGGATCTGAAACAATATCTCTAATCTTTCAGATGAACATCCTGTACTTCTAGAATATTTGCTGTCCCAAAGTGGATTTTTTCCTGCTAAAATTTCTCTACTTTGCAAAATTACTTACCACTTAACAGGTTCACAAGATACTGAAAACAGCCTCAGCATTTATGCAGACAGGAAATAACTATTCAATTCTCCCTGTGTTTCATACAAAACATGATTGGAATAGGCTGCCTAGAGGTGGAGATGCCCCATCCCTGGAAGTACTCAAAGTCAGGTTGGACAGGGCTCTGAGCAACCTGACATAATTGAAGATGTCCCTGCTCATGGTGGGGGAGTTGGACTAGAAGACCTTTAAAGACCCTTCCAATCAAACTATTCTATGATTTTATGACACTTCCAAGAGAAGTGGAGGCAGACAGCCTGAACTCAGGTCTGTGCTCCAAACAGAAGAGGAATTTGAACCTTTATCACTCACATTCCAGGAACTTCTATCACTCTCTAATGGCACCTGAACACAAGTATTAAAACTTACAACCACGTGTTACACCATACAAGCAGCTGTGCACTTTAGACTCTTCGTTGACTTAACTCTAAAGATCAAACTACCAGTTCAAAGATCTCCATGGATTTCTTTGCAACAGAATCTGCCTTTTTTTTTTATATATTTTTTAATAAAAAACTTTACAATTTTTTTTATATTTTAAATTAAATGTAAAATCTGTTTTACTTTTTTCTCTACTGTTTCACGTATGACAGATGTACAGCACCTCTTTGTATGAAGACATAATCCTTTCAATAGCATCTGCTCCAGAGATCAGCAAGTTTCGTGATGTAGTAAAAGCTTCTGTTCTTTCACTAACCATTGCCTGTTTCTGGCCATCTTCCAACTCTAAAAGTAAAAAAAAAAAGTTTTCTGTTAAAATATTCTGCTTAAAATTATCTCTACAAATTAAATTACTATTAGAATGTGAGCTACTATAGAACAGCTTTTAAATTAAGAAAACCTTAGCTCTATAAAGACAATCTTTCAAAAAGAACTGGTGAATGTAACTACTGAAGATAATTTGGTAACAAAGAATAAGTGGGAGCATATGGAATTCATCTTGTTATGCAAAACATCCTATTCTCTTATACTATGCACCAGGCATGGTTTAACTACACTGATGCAGCATTCCTCCTTAAGGTAAATGCAGAATTTACTCACGGCTGATTCCAGCACCCAGGCCAGCTCATCGAGCAGGAGTTGAGAGACCTCTACAAACCACTGCAACAGCTAATTTAGGGGTATTTGAAAAACTAAAATTATATAGAATTTGTGAACATTTCACAGTGCCAAAACACAAGCTTTTATATCATATATGATGTTACTTGAACTTTTTGTCCAAAATATTTTCCATATGGCTGGCCTGCTGCATTTGAAAGAACTGTGTTTTAACAAAGCAGACAGACTGTCTCTGTTTCATACAGAAACTAACATTTCCATTTTCATCTTAATTTATGTAACTGATATATATATATATACTCATTTTATAAACAAAGATAAATGTTTACTGTGCCTAGAGAAATCAAAGTCTTGCTTCCAAAAACAGTTACTCTGCAAAAACTGATGAGAGACTCAACATTTGGAACACCAATGATTTAACACAAGAAGAATGAGAAGTGTTATCAAGTGGGAATCTTGGCGTTACCAGCTGATTTCTTCCCTGAAATATGTAACAAAAATAAAAATTTCAGTCAGAAATATTACTGTTAAAAAAGATCCTTTTTTCTTATTATTGAAGAATATTTTTTTTTTACTTTTTTTTCCCCTTGAAGAAGTGGACAAAATCTATTGCTTTACAACTGTAGTCTCAAGTCTGGCCATGGTACCAGTTTTGTGCATATCCCTGACTCTGCTGATACATCCCAAAGTACTAAGTCCACTACCTCTTCCTTCAGATGTGAACGAACTTGTATCTGATCTGCTGAGGCACAAAGAACTGTTTTCCCAAGCAGGTCAATGGTAATTTCAGGTATGCCTGATTCTTTGAATACCTGTAATACCTCAAACTGGTCTTGACAGTGTTGTCAGTATTATGTCTGCCACCCACCAATATGTTATGCCTCAGGACTCCACAATAAAACCCATGTTTTATCAGTTTAGGTTGCTGGTAGCAAATATTCTGCTTTACAACACAAGCCGCTGCTGCGTCTTTCTTTTCTCCCACATTTGAAATGCATTTATCAAAAGAACAGTCATGGGTAACAGGAATGTTATTTAGTTTAGCATGAATACAAGTCCTTTTTTATTCATGCTCTAATACCAAGGAGATATTTACAACATGTGGTTAAACGCTCTTTTTCTCGATTGTACTCATTCCCATTCTAGCAGAAAGACTCTTATCACTTTTTCTGTTGTGCTGATAACCTTCACTGTGAGGTGAAATGCCTTTGTACAACCTCTTCTGTTTGGAACAAGACATCCTGATATTTTTGAAGCTGTTCCCAGGATGTCAGCCAGGGTCCTGATATAGTGCCCTCCTGAGCCATGTGATGGGCAGCAGCTCAGACAGCTGAACACCCAGCCATGTATCAACACAACTGCCAGTGAGCTAAACCATGTGGGCACCGCCTAAAGTCATCCCACAGGTCACATCAAGCCTGTCCAGTTGGACAGTCCTGATTTGGAATATAACTACCAAGAAAAAAATATAACTACTGCACAGAAAAGAATTCACTCCTTTCTGATTAAATGTATCCAACTTGGAACTGATCCTTCCACAGACATCGTAGGATCTGTGTTTAAGGAATCCTGTGGAATTCCAATACATTCTGTGGTACTAATTGTGCACAAGGAAGCCTGTTGAACCAAATTACCCACTTGTCTTTCACTACTCTTCCTTAATTACCTTTCTTTCTGTTCTCTCTCTCTTTTTTTAATTTATTTATCTTTTAAAAGCATCTGCAATAAAAACACTACTTGAGTCTTGTTTCACTTCCAGGAAAGTTGTGACAGGACGTCAAAAATTATACCATCCTAGTCTGGAATTTGAATTTCACCTTCTCTTTGCCCATGGAGTCAGGGAAAACCAGCGGTTCCTAACAGGTCAACAGTAAGAGAAAAATGGCCTATAATTACCTTTGATTACACTGTGGTTTATGGAAGGAGGAGATAAGCACTCTACGAAAGTTCATAGTATCATTTTGTAAATGGAGATGCTGCAAACATCAGCCTACCATCCCAAGAGTAGCTAGTGAAAAAGGATGGCAATTAACATTGTAATCTTGTGTGACACAAGGATCCTCTAAGTCCTGACTTCATACTGTTTATCAGGCTTACGCTCAAAGTTGAATCATTTGTGTTGCTCTTTCCTCAGCTGACTTGCTATGCTTGAAAGTTACACACAGGATAGGGATGTTGTAATAAAGTCTGTGAAAAATAAATCAATATGAGCGGCATTCAGGGGAAGTACAGTCTTTTGAGGACATAACTTTAAAGAAACATTTAGAAATTAAGAAAAAAATGTATTACCGCCATCTGCAAATCCCGTTGCAGTAATGATGGGCACAGCGACCATAATCATACCACAGCTACTCCAGACATACTTCATCAGGAACTGCTCTATCATGATGTACCATAAACGTTTGGACAAAATGAGATTCATTTGATCTGTCAAAGCTTTGTAGCTTTTTTGCAGCTGTTTCAATTCTACCTACAGTTAAAAAAATAAAACATTTATACAATGCAACAAAGATGCACATGTCATACAAGATACATTCACATATGCACCTGAAATAATCCAGCACCCAGAGCTGTGGCTTCTGAATCACATCTGCTACGTGGTACTTTATTTTCACTCTACTGCAGTCTCACAGCTTTACAGAAGTCAGTGCACCTGCTTCTTATTTACACCATCTTATTACACTATCTATCGTCCCTCGATAGAACATTGGCAGGTTTTCAACTCTTTTAAGATCTCTGATATATACAAGAACAACATAGAAGGCAGTCACAACAGCAGCTGATTCTAACAACCATAATAAGATTGATGCCACATCCTTCTAAAAAAGCTGCAGCTGTAGAGTTTCACAGCAACTGAAACTCATATTGGGCAGCGTTTGGGGATCAATTATCTCCAGTGACTTAAAGTTGCAGAGCTGATCCCTGAAATGCAAAGCTGCTTGTTTTTGCAAGAAGTCTGGGAGAAGAGAGAACTATCCCAAGAGGTTTAACAAGTCAAAGAGAGTTGCAAGTCAATACAGTATGTATTCAGCTCAAGCCCGGATATGTGGGAATTGAGAAAATGTTTAATTTAGCTACACTTAAAACATTACTATAGGCAGCTTTTGAGAATAACTGTGTCTACAAAAATAAACCATTTACCTTATATAATCATTGCTTGGACTCAGAGAGTAATACTTCAGGCTGGTTTCCAGCTTTCATTTTCACCTTACATGAAACAAGTTTTTTTTCCAATTGTGTTTGAAAGCTATTACAGCCAAAATCCACTTCTAATAAAAATATGAAGAGTTTCTTAATCAGGTGGCTTTAAAACAAGCTACTAGTTTATGTAACTATGATTGCAGAAGTACTGTACTTAAGCTATTTTAAGACTCTGATGACTACATCTTTGCTTAGCTATGTAAAAGAGTGTCAGAGGTTGTAGTGCGCTCTGAGCTATCACAGAGTTTTCCCCTAAACTTTCTGGTGTACCCTGTGTGCTATTTCTGCAGTATTAAATCTGGCAGTTCATACAAATGGGTGGAAAAAAAAAAAGCCTAGGAAAGTTAATCAGAATGGACTGGGTGGGGGAAAAACAATAATGGAGATAAATTTTCTAGAAAAGCATAAGATCCAGCTGCAAAACCGGAAGATTGTCAGAGCTCAAGGGAACTTGTGATCTGCTCCCCCCAGATACCGCTTGTGTGATGGCATTTTCCTAAGAAATGGGAAGTGCTAAGCTGTAAACAGGTTTAAATGTCAGAGGGACCCAAAGTGCTCAGGGAGGGCAGCAGGGAAAGCGTGGGTCTGCTCCGGCACTGTGAAAGTGACCACAACACCCTCCAATTTCTCTCCTACTTACCTTGTGCCCTCGGTAAAAAGCGATCTCTTCCACGTTGGCAATGATGCGTGAATGTATGAAGCGCAGGTAGCCCTTCCTGTGAGCCTCCTCGGCCACCAGCTTGCCAAACTTGGGCGAGCAGGCTTTGAGCACACGGGCCGTAGCGTAGACGACGAGCCCAGCCAGGACCGTGGGCCCAATGGGGTTGGCCCCCCGGGACCGCGCTGTGCGGATGAGGGTGTAGGAGGTGAGCACAACATCCAGGATGGGCTTGGTGAGGTTGGAGTAGAGGTGTGCCACAGACTGTGAGAACATCATGATGTCCTCGGTGAGAGACTGGTCGGGGTTGGCCAGCCGCCCGTCCATGCTGATCACTTTGTAGTAAGTCTGGTTGGCAAAGTAGGTCTCATAGGCGTGATCCACCAGGCGCGTGCGGAAGGCGAGGGCCAGCTTGCACTCCAGGTACCGTATGGTGCTGTTCACGAAAGTGGCTGGGATCGCAATCATCAGCCATTTGATTAACTTGAAGATAAAGCTCCTGGGCTGTTTTTCCACGATGCTCTTCACAATTTTCCCATCGAGGGCGGCCACATAGATAGAGAGGAAAGTCCTGGACACCAGAGCGAACGAGTGGAGGCAAAGCAAGCCCAGCTCGGCACTCACCAGCTTCGGGAAGAACAGCTTGCGGAGTTCCAGCAGCTGCCTGAAGAATTCCGCGTCCACGGCCGGGGAGGCTCTGCCCCGGCCGCTGGCGCGGTGCGGCGCCGCCTGGCCCCCCTCATCCTGGGAGCCGCCTCTGCCGCCCGCTCGCTTCACGCGCCCGCGGATGATGGGGTAGAGGATCTTGAGCCCGTACGCCGCGGCCAGCAGGCACGCCGCCCTCTTCGCGGCGCCCGTCCTGCTCCACTGAACCCGCCGGGCCGCCGCATGCAGCATGTGGGCCATCCTGCCCGCCGGGGCACCGCTACGCGCCGCTCCTACCGCGGGCGGATCATGCCCAACGCGAAGGCCGGTCCCGCCGGGTCTTCATTGGGGCGCTGGGCCCGGCCCGCCGCCGGCCGCCCTGCCGTGACAGATGCCGAGTGAGCGCTGCCTCCCAGGGGCGATGGTGCCTTCAAAGCGCGGCGCGTTGCACAACGCAGCCCTGCGCGGCGCAGCCCGCCCCGCCGACCACCATTGGCTGCGCCGCGCGGGGCGGCACCGGCCCGGCTGTCCCGCACGGCCGCCGCGGCCGCACCGCTATAGCTCGGGGCGCGGCCGCACCAGCGCCGGTAGCGGCAGCAGCTTGAGTGCCCCGGAGCTCCGCCCTGCCCCGCGTTCGCGGCGGGTCTCCCGGCGCTTGGCTCCAGCCGCACCTCTGGTCCCCCGGCGCTCGGCCCTGCAGCGCTCCGGTTCGCCCCCGGCTGCGTCCGCCCTTTCCTTCCGCCTGCCCTGCAGAGCAGGCGCCGCCTCCGCCCCCGGCCCCGGCCGCGGCCTCGCCAGCGGCACGGGGGGAGGAGGGGACGGCGGCAGCGGGGAGAGCGCGGTCCCCGCGGCAGCCCCGGCGGACAGCGCGTCACCCCCGGCGACCCCGAGCCTTCCCGGGGCGGGGAAGCTGAAGCGCCGTCGCGGGGGGGGCGCCCGGTGCGGGACTGACGCGGGCGAGGGCGGGCACAGCCGGAGCCGGTGGCCTCGGGCGGCCCCGGGTCGGAAATTGGTCGGGCGGCCCCGGGTCGGAAATTGGTCGGGCGGCCGCGGGAAGGACTCGGGCGGCTCGGCGTCTCCGGGGCAGCGCCTGCACAATTCGCGTAATTTGTTTCCTGTCCGCTCGCCGAAAGGAAACCGGTATTGTGTTCTGGCAGCCCAAAACAACCCCGACCGAGTCGCACGGCCTCTACAGCAAAATCCGGCTAATTTCGCACAAAGGAATCAACCGTAAAGGCAGTTGTCTTGATGCTTTATTTTTTCTCTTTTCCTAATTTCTTATTTATACTTCTTACCTTGTTTGGAAAAGGTACTGTATTTGAAACTGCAGGGGGAGAATCAGAGTACTTAAAAAATACTTCAGGTTCTTTTACACCTTGAAAATGTAGTAGTAAGGGAGCTGTATAAGATGGTATATGATAAAGCATTAGTTTAGGGTGTGTATATAAAAGCAGGATTTAAGAATGTGCTGAGCATATAGGAGTGCTGAGCAGCCCGGCCTTTCCCTAGAAATGGAGAGTAAGGCCACCAGTCCCTCGGTAACTCAGCAAATGCTAAGTCACTTTACTGTTATAAAGCAGCCCCGTTTACTGGGAGCAGGGTGCAGTGATGATGTTTAGAGAGCAACAGAAGCTTCAGGATGAAGGAATGATATCTTTGATTTGAGAGCGAGCAAGCTTTGCTTTTAAAAATCAGACATCATTTATCTAAACATCCAGGTGCCTTCCAAAAAGTCCAATAAGCCAAGACCAGCAGGAAAAGACCAAGAAACATCTATTTCTCATTTCTTCCTAGGAGATTGCACAAATTCTGTCCACAATGGGCTGGACAGTTACTTAGAGAAGATGTGGGGTAATTTTGGAGTTTATTGTATTTTTACCAGTGAGGACAGGCTAGAGATCTAGACAGAGACCTTTCTAGCCTTTTTTTTTTTTTTTTTTTAATAACTCAAATAAAGCTAGAAAAATGTCAAAATCTGACCTAGTGCAGTTCAGCTAACTTTCAGTTAGTTAGGTAGGCCTGATTTCACTACAGGTTGTTTTGTCAGTAAAATAGGAAGGTTTTTCAGTGCACAGACACAAGATACACTGGCTAAGAAATTGCTTTACTTAGGCTTTGTTGTTTTTTTAATCATGATCTCCAACTGCATACTTCCCTTTCTGGCTTGTGTGTACCAGAGCATACTCTAAGATTTTGCCAAACCACAGCTATTTGCAATATTCCATTACTCTAGCATTTTCTTACAAAGGGGAAAGTTCACAGATCTCTTTTGGTTCTGCATGTCTGCTGACCTTTCGCTTTGCAAGATCCTGGACGACTGAAATTTCTGGTGGCTTGGTGGTTAGTGCAGACGTACACCCCACAGTCAGATCTGTGGGAACATTTAAGTGAAGCAAATCTGACCGTGCAGTGTTTCAGTCAATAAAAGGAATGTATTTCCTCCTTTTGAAAGCATGAAGAAAAGCCTAAACTGTTGTTTTAAATACTCTCTTTCTTCTGTTCTTGCTGCCTCAAGAGCTTTGCTCTGCCACAGTCCTGCTCAGTAGTCCGTGCACAAACTCCTCTTTGTGAAGCATGGCCTTAGGTGTTAGATTTTTATATTTTTTTAATGCTGAAGGCAGCAATTTTACTACATTTAGTCATAATAAAAGTTCACAATATTACTCGAAAAATATTTAATAAAGCTGCAGTAATTTTGGTGCAGTGTTCAGTGAAGTTTGAGTAATTGAAGCTGTGAGATTGGAGGGATGTTGATATTAGAACCAGAATGTTTGGAGGTTTATCCTCTCTAAAGGAAAAACACATTTGTTAGTGTCAAATGATTGTTTTTTAGTCATATGGTTAGTTTTCACCAAATGCATTAAAATAACTTGTGTGCAGGAACCAATAACTGAGGAGGAAAAAGAAATGGCAATAATGAGTATTAGGGTGACTAACGTCCATGAATGTTTGAATATGTAGGAACTAGAGTGTAATCATGGCAACTGATGCTTCTTTTTTCTCTTCTGTTTTATGCCCACTGGCTCCCACCCCAGCACTTGGTCCTTGCACAACTCTATGGTTGCAGTGGAGGTAGTGGAATTGGAATGTGAAGGCTATTATGCAAGAGATATCAATCAGTCCTACTCCATGATCATTTTTTGTATCTTTTGATTCAGTGTTTGAAAAAACAAAGCGTGCAACTTTTTAAGCAAAAGGCCATTTACCTGATGTTTTATATGATCCTAACAGAAGGTCCCATAGCCGTTATGTCAGTGTCCAGTAAACTGGAATTTCCTCACTGCTTATGGAGTTATCCACTGTGCCATAAAGACAAACAAAATAAAAAATAAAGATACTGAAAAATAGATATAAATTATGCATTTTGAATCATTACTATTCATGATCTTTAACATTTAGATATGCATAGGTCATGTATACAGTACATAGCAGCTTCTATGTGGATGAGTATGTGTAAAACATGTCATGAATCCACACAGTGCTTGTTGTTTTCAAATACTAATACTGAACTGTAAATAATGTCTAAAATATGATGTACTGTAAGACGGTGAGCTGGGAACGTCTGTTATTTTCTTTAATTTTGAGCTGTATATTTTATCATAGTGGTGTGGGAATAGTAGGACTCAACTTGAGCCAGATTCGAGAGGATGAACATACAAGCCATTAATCAAGTAAATACCTTACTCTGAAGTACTTCCAGATTTTCTGTTTGCTTTAATGTCATCACTTACATAAGTACAGAAATACACCCACAGAAAGAGTTTGCAATGTCAAGGCACACCAATGACAGATTTGATGTTTTTATCAGAAAAGGGTGATAAGATACCCTGACCTTTGATTTCAAGTCTGTATCAGCAGAAATTATCTGCTTATTCAGCCTAGTTTAGAGAAGCTATTGACTATATTCATATACCTCAGTAGAATATCCAGACACTGTAATTCCTTTAGGATATGAAGATCTAAGCCAAGCAAGGAGCTTCAGGTTTAAAATCACAGACGTAGAAGCTTGTCGAAAAAGTGTCACTGTGGTGAGACTGGCCTGATCCTATCAAGCAGTTGATTCCAACTCTTTTAGTCCTAATGGGGCTGTAGGGTACCCAGAGTAGCCAGAGGTGTGTTATGGCAAGAGAGGAGAGAGGAAATAGGGAGATCCTGCTCTGTTGTTTGGCTCCTGAGTGTAGACATCACAGAGATGGTGTAAATGGGGGGCATTCCCACACCAGGAGTCCTCTTTCCCTTACTCTGTCTTTAGGGAGATGCATACTTGCTGCTGTAAATTTGAACCCTGTATGACTTGTGGGTGTGAACCCTGTATGACCCTGATAATTTATCCATAAGGGATTTGAGTAATCTGACTGATGGGACAGTCAATAGCAGACCAATCACAAACAATTCTGACTTCTGAGAACAGTGAGATTCTAGATAGAATACAGCTCTAGAAAGAAGTGTAAACAAGTTGTTTTCCCTTTACGAAGAGAGAGGGACAGGGAAAAGGCCAAGGATGGAGAAGATCAATGCCAGCTGTTCCAACCACAGTAAACTGCCAAGTTAGGATCTCAGACAAAGAATTACCATTTCAGTATTTACACTTAAATACTTAAAAACTTAAATATCTGTATTTTTTAGACATATTTCTCTTTCTTGTTAAGCTTATTTCTTATTTCATACAGGTAATTCAGCTGAATCAGCGTGTGTCTTTTTTATGCTTTCAGAAGTCTTGAATATGTTACATATGTTTTTCAGGTTTTGCTTTGAGTTTCTGTTTAAGGTTTCTATTCTCAGATCATCTGAAGAAAATGCTAATGCTACCTTATTAAACCTTTTCTCAAGTGCATTGTGAACACTTTAAATAAGCTATATGCCAGGTGCAATAGTACAGGTAGAAGTGGTAAAATCATGTAGCTGGTATCAGTTAGCAATGGTGCTCCTGGCTCTGCCCTCAGCAGAGCCAGTGTTCTACTCTGCAAAAGTGTAGGCAGGAATAAATCCAGGAAAATAATCTCTTCTACTCATACACCCCAAACACGGGATCTGCTGCCATCCTTTTGTCATGCCTCAAGAATTTGTGAGAGTTTGCAGCTGGTATGACAACACAAATATCATCTACTGTAGTTTATTTATTAACTCTTATTTGGGAGACTTCTAAATATTAAGAAGAAGCAAACTGGTTCAGACCAGTGCTCCATCGAGCACAGGAATCTGCCTCTAACAATAGCTCTAAGCAGATAGCCAAGGAAGAAAAAGAATTGCAATTACATGTGATGCTGCCTCCCCTGCTACAGCTTCATACTCTCCCAACCTCTGACCGGTTTTAAATGTGCGAATTTTGTGAGCGAGAGGTTTTTCTGTTAAATATTCTACTCTTAAAAGTACTTGTCCAGTCTCTCTTGAAATAATGTAAACTCTTATACAAATAATAACCTCTATGGCAAGCAATTCCTCAGATCTACCATATCATATATGAAGAATCCCTCCTTTCATCTTGATTTGACCCTGACTCCCACAGGCTCCACTTTATGGCCACCTATGCCTGTTCTGGAAGAGGCATTCAACAGTGGAGCTCACTCTTCCTCACTCTCTCCCACTCTCCTCTCACCCAGCAACTTTCCCATCTCAGGAGTTTGTCAACCTCTATTCCATATCAGCCCCCAGCCATTGACTACAGCGATACCAGAACTAAATGTTCTCCCTTTCTTTTGCATTTTAATAAATGGCAGGACTTTCCCTTTTATTTCTTAAAACCTTAAGTAACAGATGTTGTCAGCAGCCTTAATTAAATCCATCAAGACTACAGCAATCGCTCTTTTCTACATGTTTATGAGGCAGCAAATTCTGTCTGCAGAAGGTACACTATAGGTCAGCTTTTCACATGCTGACCTATATTATAGTTCCTGCAAATTTTTAAGCAGAAGTAAGCTTTCTGGATTGCCACAGAATTATTATTTCTCAAAATTGTCACGTTTGCTACCCTCTAGTCTCTAAAACTACTCCAAAATCAAGTTATACATGGTCATAGTGCTTCATTATAGAACTCTTCAGTGAATACCATTTAGTCCTGGTGCTTTGCTAGTCTTTGTTCTGTCTTGGTTAAGATGATTTTGACTATCTGTTGTTATTTTTACTTTGGACTGGTCCTCACTGAGTTCTCCAGAAAGGATTCCTGCATAAAGTTCTCCCCAGTTTCCTTATCAATGAATACCGATGCAAGAAGACTAACTTATCTTTTCTGTAACATCCATGTCTCCTCTGAGCACTTATGTTTTACCTTGGCCCTCAACTGGCCCTCTAGCAAGCTTTTGCTCCTAGTTGATGTGAAGAAGAGTGATTTAGTAGTTTGGTTCCTTTGCCTAGTTGTTTCCCAAATTCTTTTTGGCCTATCTAATTGTATTTTTGTGTTTCTCAGAGTTCATGTTCCTTACTGTTATCTTCTTTTGAATGCAGTATAGCTATTTGCTGTGGTTCAGACTGTTTCTTTTTTTCAAGTCTGGTATCCTTCAGCTTTTTCCTAGCACATGTAAAGATTTAATTCTTTTAGCTCCCTCTCCTAATTTGTTCTTAACAAGACTGACATTGTTCCCTTACTGGAGTTTAGCACATCTGCAGAGGATTCTTTGGTCTTTTTTAATCTTTATAGAAATACTGTTTTCATAAAATGGGGTTTTCAGCATTCTGAAAACAGATGTCGTGCGTTGTTCTCCATCAAGCCAAGGACTGCACCTAGTCTTGAGGGTTCATTCAGTGAAAAATTATTCCATCTAAATAACACCAGCTAAGAATGGCATCTGCTTCATATAGCAATGTGTCAACCTACTGTTGTCAGTGGTACTGTCCTGGCTGGTGGTTTGCCATGTAGATCGAATCCCATGTTCTTCCCAGATGGGCATTGGATTTTGACCCAGGCAGATTAAGTGCTTCTCTCTGAGCTGACCAGTTTGCTATGTTTGGAAACTGTTTAGTCTCTCTACTATCTACTGTCTCTATACCCTTTTAAGGTGAATAGAGGAAGGGCCTGTCATTAAATTAATTGAAAGAGAGATCTGTCTTTCAAGAGGATCTACTTTTAAAAGGAGCAACTTTGTTTTTAAATCAAGTTTTGTCCTCTGTTTTAAACCTCCTCAGACTCTTATCATGACTTTGCAATATCACAGCCATCTTTTAAAAAGAACTTTCTAGGGCAGAACAATCAACCAGGTTAGTGTAAAACACCACAGATAGTGTTGCTTTATTTCTTTATAAACTGATCTCTCAAGGAGGAAATGAACATAGATCACTGACTGGAAGAAGACCATGCAACTCTGTAAACAAAGATTAAGCACTGCATTTGCCAAAGGAAAGCTTCCACTTGGAACAGTCAGGCTTCTTTTAGTTGTGCATTCCTAGTATTAGCTAATTAGGCTGATATTTAGGGACCTAAATAAGTGCATACTGATATTTAAAAGTACCAAAAATTCCTACCCTGGATAGAGATTCAAAAGCATTTCAGTTACTCTGCATCTTGCTTATTAAACTTACTTACTTAAAGCTGGATGCTTTGAGTTGCACAGTCAACACTTCAACACCAGCCTTCTGTAGAAATGCATTCTTACATCAGATAAATGGTACACTACTTTGAACTGCTTTGCTATGTCACTTGTATCTAGAGCTGATCTGATAATGAAGAAGCATATCAGAGAGGAAAACTCCAGGGATGGAGGTTGGAAAGCTGTTCTGAAGAAGATCCTGTGTAATACTTTCTTAACAAAACAACATGAGAGGCAGTTATTCTGAAGGGTGGCTGTAAAAGTTAGAAAAAGGGGAAATATTTAAACTTCAGTTTTTGACACATAGAGAAAGTCTCTTTCTTCTATACTTCACTTCCCAGAAAATCAACTAAGCTCCATGAAACTCATTCTCATGACCTTTTAAAAATTAACAATAATGACCTGCAATTCTTGAAAATTAAGATGTCACTCAGACATCCAAAACAATTATTTCAAACTTTTCAAATGTTGACAGTCAAGGCACAATATGCAGATACTGGAAATATAGTCATATACATCTCAGTCTTATTTAATTGTTTACTTTGCCTTCCTCAAAAAAGAACCAATTCTTTATTTTATGAATGTTTGAAAGGTCTTTATGTGCAGAAAATAATTTGAGGAGAAGATTTCTTATGTTGAAAAATAATTAATTGAAGCTGCTGTGTCACTTTTCCAGGATTCTACAAATAACTGCTAACTACCAGACTAAATAAATCAAATATAAAGAAAAGTGCACTTTTTTCTTTAAATCTAGACAATACTATAGAAAAGTAAGGGTAATGGTGATACAGAAAACATGATATATTAGAAAAACAAAAGTAAAAGGTACTTGAATATGTTAGGCATGAAACTTCGTCTTAGACATAGTATTAACATGTGAAACATTTACATTAAATGGAATTGAAAATAGAAATTAATGTTTGAAGTGATGAAATCAGTTAAATTAACTTTCATTCTGTCATCTATCATATGAGCTGCAGAGGCACATAGACGTAAAATATAGATATTACTTATTGTGATGATTTTAATCTAGTGTTGTTACAATAAACAATTATGCATACTATTCAGATTCTATAAACACCCTAATCAAATTGGAAGTATTACAAAGAAAAAAATCTTGGGTCATTTTTAATATTAGGCTCCTAATATCTACTCTGAGCATCCTTCCCACTGATGTACTAATGCTAAGCAAACTTTAGTACCCTGAGTACATTAGGCTAAAGATAACTCAGTAAAGAAATGCCACAGGAAAAGATTCATGTAAAATTTGATGATTGTTTTGTAAATGGGTGCCTTCACTTGCTGAAACAATGGCAGGGAGTCACAGGGAAGGGAGCGAGCGGAGCTGTGTTGCTGCTAAGATGCCCTGGGAGCACAGGCAGCACCTGCAGCTCTGCATCTCTCCTGGAGGGTTTGTCACATTTGCACACAAAAGGGCATCAGACAGACCCAAGGGCAACAACACTTGCTAGTAGAAAATGCTCATTGATTCCCTTGTTGCCCCTAAGTTACCTGAGGAAGAGCGGGATGGGAAGGAAGGTGCTTCTCTCTTGCCTTAAAAGTATGGTGGTTGTAGCAAAGACAAGCTGGCCCTGAAAGACAAATCAATTCACTTGGGACAGCAAGAGGTTTTTGCTAGGACACCCCCTTGCAAAAGAGCAATGGCTTCTGGCAGCAGCCTGTATGGAAACATGGTGGGTAGAGGAGGAGCGGCAGCAACCACAGTATCACTTCCTCCCCATCAGCTGCTTTTCTTGGTTTTCTGCATTCTTCCCCTTTGGCTGTCTGTCCCTGCACCACCCTTTCCTTCTTCTCTGCTAGCCTGGGGACATGGAGAGCAGCTGCCCTGGTGCTCCCAGGGAGGAGGAGGCCCTGCAGGAGGGCGCTGTGGCCCTGCTGGGGGGCTGCAAACCATCTCTGTCGTGGCCATCGCCCCCACCTCCAGCCCTCCCTCCCTCCCTCCTCAGCAGCAGAAAATGAACTGGGTTGGTGGCAGTCGGTGAGTGAAACTCTTCAAAGGCTGACAGAAACAGCTCCATGCTGTGTCGGTGTCCCCTCACAGGCTGGGCGCGCTGTGGTTTGTGTGGTGACACAGCCATCCCGCCCCAAGCAGGGCTGTCATATTTAGGCCCAGTGTTTCTCCACAGGCAGGGGCTGGGTGAGGCCTTTCCTCACACCCTCAACAAACAGCAGTGGTTGCCATTTAGACAAAAAGATGTATAGGTATTGAGATGCACTGAAATAGTAAAATACCACAAACTGAGTTGTAATGTTAAAAAAAAAAATAAATAAGATAACACTCAGTTTCTTTAGGTGCTGTGCCATCTGCCCATCTACTAGAAATGTAAACCCCACAGATTTTGCCAGCCACTGGGAAGCAGTGTTGCTAAACACAGCTTTGTAATCTTCCTGACTCTATGCAGAATCAAACTAAAAGAATGGCTTACTCATCTGGAAGTCTTCCCAGCAAAATGGGGTTTCTGAATATTGCCTCTGTGAAGCAGGGGGAAGGGAGAGCTTCAGTTTGAAAAAAAAAAACCAAAACCCCAAACCCAATGTTGTCCTAAATGTCTGTCTGTCATACCCTCTCTAAGAAAACACAGTGTGTAGGAGTATTTCATGCACTTAGCAAATACAAATCAACCTGCTGCTTGCTGCTGCTGGTAGTATCTGTCAGGGTTCCTTAAGTGAGCCTGGGATTTGCATTTGAGGTGCCAGAAAAACTACCTGTTACTGAGGCTTCTCCCCACCGCAAGGGCAAATGTTATGTGCACATGTTTAGAAAGTTTGTTCTAACCTTAAGAACAGAAAAAGAAAAAAAAGTCATTCCAAGGGGATATTCGATATTTCTAACCCTCACGAATGTCCTAATCTTACCGACCCAAGGAATGCAGCCGTGCTCACCCTGCTCACAGCAGTGACCATGACGTCCAATTCTGTGCACTATGTCCTGTAGGCAATCCACTTCAGTGCATTTAAGGCTAAGTTTTACAAGTGAGATACATAGTTTAAGGTATAACCGTCTCCCAGGGTGCACAAACAACAGCACCTTGTAGTGACAAACTATTGTTCTTACCTTTTTTGTGGAAGGTTCACAATATTCTGTACCAAAAAGGTAAAAGCTTGTATAGTGCTCCCTTGGGTTTTTTGCTGATATATTTTGGAACTATATTGCAGCATGACAAAGAAAATTAGGAGAAAATAATATATTGACAAATATTTCTTAAGTTTTAAGAAATTATAAATTGATGAAATGTTGCATTACAGGTCAAATGACTAAAAGCTTCTTCTGTTTTCCTTTTTCATGTTCAGTGTAGTAGCCTAATAGACAATGTGGTCTTGTCCTTAACTGAGTAAACCAAGATCAGTCAAGGTGACTTCAACAGAGATATATTGACTTAACTACCTGAATATCCATTATAACATAACATGTAACATAACATAACATTAGCATAGCATAACAGAACACAGCACAACACAACATAGCATAGCGTAACACAACATAGCATAGCGTAACACAACATAACATAACATATTTGTGTCCTAAATTCTCAATAACATTGATGAGCAATTCAAGTCGTGACTCAAGATTATACTTTTGCAATTAAAATAATAATTATTTGCATTTTTAGGAGCAGAATCATATTAAAGCAGGAAAGGAGAAAACAAAAGGTAAACAGTTTTAGCTACCTTGGATTTTATATTGTTATATAAATGCTTTAGTGGATTCACTTAGATAATACTTTCAAAGCATCTAGAGTGAGATTCAAAACAGTAACTTAACAGTTGAGATGTTTTTACCTGACTTTTAGAGCAAAAGTCTTGTGCTAGGTTTACTACACTGAATTCCAGCAGGAAGAGGAGGCAGCCGGAGAAGGGCATGAATGAATGAATGAATGAATGAATGAATGTGCCCAATTTAAGTTTTACTGAATTACTGCTGTTACCATATTACATTGGTATGTGCTGACACATGGGATTGCTTGAAGCCTCACAGTGACAACCACATGGTCAGCTGGCCTAACACATGCATACACAGCTATTCTTCTGGGCTGTATTAAAGGGTGTTAGGCTCATTGAAGTACTTTATTTGGCATTTGGAAAAGTAGGCCAGCTTATTTGTATTTTGAATCTGAAAGTGAAATAAGAGAATCAAACTTATCCCTGGCAGAAGATGTTTCAAACAGCAAAGAGGAAGAAAACAGTAAGAGAAAATGGCTATAACCGCAGTAAGTGAAGTCAGTGTCCTAAGCAGGGAAGAAAGAGGCAGTACAAGGAAGCTCCACCACTGAAGCTGGTATCCCCAGTGCCCAGAGCAGGTGCATAGGCATTCAGAGAAGTAGGAGAAACAGGCTGACTGTATGGAGACAATCACTGAAATAAAAATGTTTACATAAGGGAATGCAGGACCAATCAGCAGCTTGTTGTCTTCATCACTTTCCCAGTCTCCTGGAGGCCTACGAGTTCTCAAAATATCTGTTTTCTCAGGGATTACTAGTCTAAACCACATAATTATTGTTAAAACTATGTAATTTGCTTCAGTGGAGGAGGGAAATAAGGAAAGGATCCAAGTCAGGATTGTTTTTAATAATGTAGCACTAAATTACTAAACAGAGTGGTAATTTTGTAATTGCTATTACACAATTATTAGTAATTTGGTAATTTAGAGGTGATGGGAAGAAAATATCTGGGACACTGAAGGGAAGTGGATACATCTTAGGGGTGTGGACCCCAAAGTAATATAAATTTTGAAGTGTTGATTTGTACACAGGTTGATTTTACTTCTTAACTGAAAAACAGATATTTTCCACAGATGAAATCAGCTAGAAAGCTAAAGATAATAATAAATTATACTGAAAATTAGTTACCAATGAACATGTTGGGTATATTGGTTACATGTAACCTGCATTCAGGAGAGAAATTACATTTCAGAAGAAAAGCCAGTGCTATTTTTTTTTCTTTTTGGAATAGCCTTCAATTTTCAATATCTGTCTTTCAGTTAGAAAAAATAAATCTTACTTGTTTTATTTTATTAATCTGCTATACTTGATGCTAATGATTTTAGGATTGTTATTAAGTCTCTACAAAATGACGGTTTTTATTTCCTAAATTTTCCAGAATTATCTGCTTGATATATTCAAAGTGTCAGTTGTATCTCTTTTTATTCCTTGCAACAAAAAGTCTTTCTGAAGTCCCAGTCATAGAGATTTGTCTTTTTTTTTTTTTGTCACAAGACTATTTTCTTTGTCAAGAAAGACAAATTTGGAGAACAATAAACTCTTTGTGTCATTATGGATGGCACATCTGGTGTATGTAATCTTGCTAGTTTATTTGCCTACTATCTTATAAGTTGCCTAAAAAGCCCAAGTTTAAATTTTTAAAGACTTCTTTCTTGCCACATTTGTTATCTTTTATTTGAAAGAAATAGTTTTTAGTGATTATACACGAAGTATGAGAAATGAGTGTTTAAGGACTAAATTTTTGGCATCAAGATAATGGTGACTTATTCTGAATATGACCAAATTATACTTGCAGTCTTTTTCAAGGCCATAAAAAATAAATTGACTGCTAACAGGGTGTGAGAATTCAGAGGTACTTAATCATGTGCTTTTATTATTAGGAATTGTTCACTAAGTCTTGCTTGCTAATCTCAAAAGAAATATCTATCTATACTTCTAGTCTGTTGTTGAAGCTTTTGTCAAAAACTTATTATCTCCTTTAAAAATTTAAGGAATACTTTGAAAAAAAGAAACTTAAATCAAAAATGAAGCTTCTGGAAGTATCATCTCCTAAAAGTTCAGCAGTCAGTTTAGATCTTCTTAATCTCTATGTGGTTAACCAGATATCAACCAAAAAAGACAACACCGGTGAGTTTTGAGTAACAGTGTTCTGACTTCTCAGAATCAGTTATTCTTAGCTATTACTGCTGTTATTTTCGTTCTTGTTCTTCCACTTGTAACTTAATACTCAGTGTTGTTTTATTTTTAAAATAAAAAAATTGTAACTAAATACAAAAATTATGACTGAATAAAAAGTCAGGGCATAAGACGAATCAAATAACCTTGGCTACAGCCTATGTCACCTTTAAAGTCTTGTACACTGTCCTGGTTCTGGCCAGGAAGGGGTTAATGTTTGCAACATACACTTATGCACCTTCCTCATTTTCTATTCATTAATTTTATCTTATATCCATTTCTTTTTCCCTTTGCCATTGAATGGGTCCATTTGTAATCCACTTCCTTTTTCATTTGGGCATTTGCAATAATCTTGTCAGTTCTACCCAAATTATCTTTCTTAAAATCCATTATTAAACTTCTAAAGAAACGTCACTGCAACTTCAGTCCTACTCTTTACCTGCAGATGGGGTACTGAGAGACATTGTTTAGTGGTGGACTTGGCAGTGCAGGGTTAATGGCTGGACTCAGTGATCTTAAGGTCTTCTCAAACCTAAACAATTCTATGACTCTATGACTCTTATTTTCTGTGACATATTCATAAACCAGATTGTGGAAAATTTGTTGTCCTATGCTGAGGAAAAGTAGAAGATGACTGAGGAGGGCAACAGAGCCTGTCCACACACAGCAGCTGACTGAATAATTTTATACTATCATTCCATTTAGAATAGAGTTTTTGCATTGTTAGTAAAAAAGAAAGAAAAACTATGGCTTTAAATGGATTAAGAAGTCTAAAACAACAGCTTTTGCACTCAAGTGAAAATTCAGGAACCTCAAAAGTTTCTCCAAGCCCAGCTCTGACATACCGAATAATTTCATTGCAGAGAATGTGAGGAAGCCAGTCCATGTGGATATCATTGAAGATGTAAAAAAACTTCCTGGGAGACACAACTTAGAGCTTCCCACGTCACCACTACATACACAACATAAGTCAAACCTAGATGATCTCCAGAACAGGTACTTGTATAAAATAGGCAATAGTTATGCTAAAATGAAGTTCTGGAAAAGGTATTTCATGATGGTTTTATATTTGGAGTATTAAGAAACCATATACATACCGTAGTAAACAGGGAGTTTCACAATCACTCCTGGCATTCCAGTGATACTCTTACTGTGAGAGAGTAAATAAATAGATTCTGAATAAAAGACTGCACATGAGGCTGAGAGATTTTTTAAAAAAAGGTGGTGTGTTTTTACTCATGTCAGGTACATACACTAGTTTTATCTTGAGAAGCGGGCTATTCAAACAGCATTACCCACTTACACTGCTTTCCCGTCCAGCTTCAGACCCTGACCTGACCAAATCACACACAGGCTGCTCACAACTGCTTAAGAATCAGGCCTTTGTAAGATGTGTGGAAAAATATTCCTAAATTATTTTGAAATTAATACTCAGAATATTTTAATCTTACAGATCTTGTATTTCATAGGCTGTTTTTGTTCATTTTACAAGGTTACAAAAGCAAGTACTGGACAGCAGAAGGCAGCATCTGTCAGAGAAAGTAAAATACCAGCATAATGTAGGTTTATTTTTCCTATGATATAAAACTAAAATTGTTCAGCAATTGCTGTATTTTTAAGTGATTTTTAAAAGAGTGACCAAATCTCATTTGACACTGAAATATATGAAGTCTTCCTCTGTAAGACTATTTTGATATATTATTTTGCGATTGCTTACATATTTCTGGAAGGCTCATCTTGTTTTAGGCATTTTGCAAATTATTTCAGAATATCTGTGCTCTAAGCTAGTCATGAAGAACAGAGCTTATAGGAAAGGAACAGAGGCCAACAACAGGTAAATTAAAAAAAGAACAGAAATGTGAAATGATGGAATGTGAGAAGCATAAACAAAAGTGAGTCTTTAAGAGGAACTTAAGTGCAAGTCGCAGAACCAATTCAGCAGATCATTTACCTATATACCTAGTGGTAAAAATGTATTTATGTCCATGTCTCCCCAGGAAAACATTTGTGTGCATGCTTCAAATTAAATAGGTACTTATGTATTTCCCTGAAATAAGCCCTTATAGCCTTATGTTTTTCGTGAAAAAGTCGTATCATGACATTCAAATACACAAAAATTTTCTCTTCCTTGTGGCATATGTGTGGAGATGTAAAAGATATAGAAAGGCTTGATTACCTTGCACTTTATGCTTAAATCAAAACAGTTTCTGAGAAAATTCTCTTTGCCATGTTTTGTCTAGTTTTCACAAGTAACTGAATTACTGTATGTTAGCTCTAGTATGGAACAAGAAGACAACTGAGCAAGAGCTTTTATTGCTTGTTCATTGTCTTAGGGTTTTCAGTCCTCTAGCTGTACACAGCTTCCAGAAGAAAAGTTCAACACAAACCTAATGGGCGACATTTGGGAACAGACCTATGAAGAGAAGCTGCAAAAGCAGGTTTGGTTAACATTTTACTTCCACAGAATTATTTTAAACTAACTTTCTTTTGTTTTGTGTATAGATAGAGTGTAATTGTGAAGATAATTGTAAATGATCAACATCTCTCGTAGGCTGGTGGCAACGAATAGTCCATATATACAAATATATTTGTTTTATTGTTCTGACATAAGCTTAACTTGAGCTTAACACTGAGCTCTCAGCATTGCTGATATCTGCAGAAAGTCACATGTTGCTGGCTTTCTTTTGTTTCTGGCTTGTAAAATTGGTTAAAGAAAGCTGAAGTGTATTATAGTTGTAGATACAGCTTTCTTAAACATACAGTTGGTGTAACTGGGTGTCGTATGATCCCAGTTGATCCCATAACCTAATTTTTAATCTTGTAGTGTGAGTAACATACTTCTTACAGTATTCTCAGTGCTCTAAAAGGATCAAGAAAAGCCTGCTCTTTAACTCATTCATTACCTTTAAGTAACAATTGAGTTTTTTGTTCTGATGCATGTTACTATTTTTTTTTTTTGTTAACTTCAGGATTCTTGAAACAGTCATCCTTAGAAAAGTAATAGCAAATACAATATGCTTTATTTTTTAGAAAATATATTATTAGTTGGAAATAATAAAACAAATTCTATGTGTATCATCAGTGGTATTATAAAGTCTTGAGGTAAGTGAGGAAGAAGTGCTTCAAAGGCTTCAGAAAGGAAGATGTTGGGTTGTTCAGAAAATGAGTAGGCAGAAACCCAGAGGAACCTGACCTGAAGAAAAAAGGAGCCCAAGAAAGATGCTTTCAAAACACAAGGACAGTCTACCTCAATGTGCAAGAGAATGTGTAGGTCCCAGAGGCCAGTTTGGCTGAATCAGGGAACTCCTGACTGAGCTTAAATGCAAAGAAGTGTAGAAGGAGGGATGGGCAACCTAGGAAGAACACAGAAGCATGCCTTGATCTTGGAGGCGTGCCATTAGGATGGTCAGAGCTGAAAATCACAATGGGTGAGAAGGGCAGTAAGGAGGAATTCTCTAGATGTTTCATCAAAGCAAGAAAATGAAGGAAAGTGCTAAATAGAGTTGAGACGTAGTGACAAAGGACATTGAAAAGTCTGAAGCTCTCAAAGCCTACTTTGCTTCAGGTTTTTCAGACAGATTCTGCTCTCTGGCTGTTCTTCAAACTCAGTCGGGAGTTGGGGGAGAGTGGTGCAAAATGGTAGTGAAGGAACAGGTTAGAGAATCCATAGTAACCTGGACATAAAGAAATACATGAGACTGGACAGAGTCCATCCAAGTATATGGAGGGAGTTGGATGACATCACTGCAGGGCAGATATTTATCGTCTTTGTAAGACTGTGGTGATCAGGAAAGCTTCCCCGCGACAAGAAATGTGTTATGTTCATCTGCAAAAATGTAAGCATGATCTGGGGAAGTATCATCTCACCTTTGTCTCTGGAAGGATTAGGGAGCTAAGCTTCCAGAGGCAATTCCAAGGTACATTAAAAATAAGAAGGTGTCTGGGAACAGCCATCAGTTTTTCCAAGGTCATACTGTGCCTGGTGGACTCAATTGCTTTCTGTGCCAAAATTAGTAGCTCAGTAAATTTGGGAGAACAGCAGGCATTATTTACCTACACTTGAGGAAGGCTTTTGACAAGGTTTCCCATTGGATCCTGGTAGCCAAAATGGGGAGGTATGAATCAGATAAATGGACAGTAAGATGAATAAAAAACTGTCTGTTGCTATCATACTCAGAATAGTTGTCTGTTGGCTAAAGTCTACATGGCAACAAGTCAATAATCAGAGAATGGTTTGGGTTGGAAGGGACGTTAAAAATCACCCATTTCCAACCCCTCTGCCATGGGCAGGGATACCTTCCACTAGACCAGGTTGCTCAAAGACCCATCCTGGCCTTGAACACTTCCAGGGGTGGGCCATCCACAGCTTCTCTGGGCAACTTGTTTCTCATGACCTCACAGTAAAGAATTCTTTCTTAATATCTCATCTAAAACTACAGTCTTTCAGTTCGAAGACGTTACACTTTGTTCTATCACTACATGCCCTCGTAAAAAGTCCGTCCCTGGCCCTCTTGTATTCCCTTTAGGTAGTGGAAAGTTGCTGTAAGTTCTCCCTAGAGACTTCTCCAGGCTGAACAACCCCAACTGTCTCAGTCTGTCTTCATAGGAGAGGTTCTGCAGCCCTTTAATCATCTCTCTGGCCCTCCTCTGGACCCACTCCAACAGGTTCACGTCCTTCTTCTGTTGGAGGCCCCAGGTCTGGATACAGTACTTCAAGTGGAGTCTCACGGGGGCAGAGTAGAGGGGCAGAATCACCTCCCTTGACGTGCTGCTACAATGAGCACACCCAGTAGTCAAAGGCAAGCGATTTCGCTCTGAGCAGCATATGTGAGAACACGTCTGAGATACTGTGTCCAGTTTTGGGACCCCCCCAGTACAAGAGAGAAATGAGCAAAGTGTTGCAAGACCAGTGAAGGGCCACATAAATTGTTAGGGGATTGGAGCAGGTAGTGATTATGAAGAGAGTGAGCAAAGAGGGCTTTCATTGCCTGGGAAAGACTCGGATGTGGGGTGAACTAACCAGTGTCTTCTACAGTCTAAACAGAGCTACAGACAGGACAGAGCCAGAGGTACACAGAGAAATGGCAAGAGGTAGAAGGCACAAGTTTCAACAATGGAAATTCTGTTTGTACAGGATAAAAAATAGCCACGAAACTGGCTAAGCACAAGAAGAGGCCATGCAGCAGGTGGTTGTCCTGAACATTACTGAGCAATCTGGCCTTAGCTTGAAGCTGGTCCTGTTATAAGCAAGTTGGACTAGATGACTCTTGAGGTCCCTTCCAGACGAGGTTTTTTGATTCTGTCATCTTCAGTGGAATTTCAGCTTGTTACAGTCTATCAAGCTTGTTCATACTATGGGAGGATGGGGTGCTAAAAGGACATTTTGCATATTAACATTGATATGCAAAGGTGGAAAAGTATGAGTTATATAGAACTCGGGCTGTTAGCAGGTTTGGGCTTCCACTGTAAAGATAAAAAGAAGTAAAAATGGTGGGAAAACATGTATATTATTTGCAAACCCAAGTTTAAAGTTTTAAAGACTATAGCCATTATGTGTATTCAGAGTTTGATAGCTTCTACTGTTTTCTCAGCCAGGAAATATTCCCAATCAAGACTCATGGAATACTAAACCTCCAAGCCAGTGCATTTTCAGGAAGTCTGATACAGTGCTTCAGGAACTGTTTGAACCATTTCATAGGTAGGCAGTGATTTTACACTAAAGAGGGAAATAACAGTCAAGTTTAATTAAGAAAAATATAAGATTATCTGAAGCTTATTGCTACTTGTCTTTTTCACTGATTTTTGATGCTTTTCAAATAGAAATTGAAATCAAATGGAAAGACTAAACATACAAAGCTATTCCAATTTGCTGAAAGGCAGCAAAAGCTGAATTTGGGGTAGGCATTTGGAACCATGATCTGTTTTTTCAATATCACAAACATGATAGTGTTACTGAATTCACCTTGAACGATAGCTCAGATTTACTAAGCCACAAGGAGAGTGAAGCTGCCTCAGGTCTTATTAGTTCTGGTCACTGTTACAAGTGCTTTTCTGATGACCTTGATGCAGTAGCAGTTGAGCAACTCCACCTAGTTGTTTATACTTGGGATTCCATGAACAAAGCATTTTCTTTCCTGCTCTTTCATATGTGATCCTACTATAGCTCTTTTCCCCTATATTTTTTTCAATAATACTTTTAAGGGAATATGCACTTTGTTTTTTAAAGAATGGTTAGAACTCAAGAATATATTTCTTTTTGTATGTGCTGATTAAAAATATTTCTAATCATAGATGGTTTAGGGCCAGACTCATTTGTACTGAACATTTTATATAATTTTCTTTCCAGGGACTCTTCCCTTGGATCTAGGGGTTGTACACAGCTAATCTTTCTTTACTCATTTTATTCTATGAGTCTGCCATCTGGTTGAAAGTTCCTGTCAGTGTCTAGCTTTGGCTGGATAGAGCCATAAAAAGACCATATAATATTTTGCTGTTCCTGAAGTACCTACAGCCTGTTTGCTTGGGGACTTAAGTGACTGATAATCTCACTGGTCACACGATAACCAGGCACATTAGCTTCCTCTCAGCCACCTTATCTTTCACTCTTCTTGTAGCTTCTCCTGGTTTTCTCCAGCAAAACATAAAATGAGGATAGCATTCACCTTGCTGTATATCTGGGACAATTCCTCATTAATATCTTTACATTAAAGCCCTACATAACCTTATTGCACCTACACCTCCCCTTTCATTTCTCCCCCGGCTGTCAGGCCTGCACTCATCTGCTTATGGCACCTCCTGTTGTCTTCTACCCATTTATGGCTCACTAAAAACATCTCCTTTCCAACTGTTCTTCAAATCCATTTCTTTATATTGTCCTTGTTTTGTTTTCATCCATTGTAGTCATAAATTCTTATACCTCAAGAGATGGCAGTTCTTTTGTGAAGGGAGTTTCTTTCACTGTGAAAAGTAGAGTGTAAATTTATACAATTGTTTAATGTAACATACTGATGATGTAATCAATGTGCGTAATTCTTAGAGGTGTGGCATTAAATATTAACTAAAAATTTTGTATGTCTTATTTTCTCATCTACTCTTAACTTTTACTTTGCATTAAAAAATGTTCAGCTGGAATTAAGAAGAACCCTCTGAATTGGTTCACAAAACAGTTTTACCTTCCTCACATATATCTGTCCAAATTTCTCCAGGAACAAAGTCTAGTGTGGTTAGCCTTTTAAAACTGTTCTGAGGAGGCTTCTGTAAGCAGAGGAAACTACTTCATTGAAGTACTGTAGAATCTTTATCCAGTTCCAAGTATTTGCTGAACAGAACACCACAGAAGTTTTCTGTACTACATTTCAGTTTTCAAGTTCCATTGACAGCATTGCTCAAAACATTTTAAAGAAAGGTCATTTTTTGAATGTCCTTCTTTGCCAATTCTCTGTGCTTCTGAAGACTCTTAACTTTTTGCTCAGAGTTTCTGAAAGGTCAGATCAGCAGATCCGGCCTGGAAAAAATACAGTGAAAATGTTAGATTAAGAGCTAAGTAAGTGAAAGCATGATAACCTTCAAGCCCCTGATGTTTGCATGATAACATCTTCAAAATCACTACTCTCAGAAGTGGGGTAGGGAAGTCTGGGCAAAATAAAATGTCTGACTGGCCACCTGACAGTGCAACAGAGGAGTTCTGTGCTGAATCAGGATTACTGATCTCAAGTACAAATGGAAGTCACTTGCTAGAGAGACCAGGAATAAAGCAGTATACAGAGCTTATTAGGCTTTTCAGTACCCAAGAGAACTGTAATCTTGAGGAACAAACTACTTTTATGAATAGAGGAAACTATCTTCCTCGTTTTTTCTTTTTTTTAATCCCCTCCCCAAAGTTGCTGCCTTTGGTCAGCTGGTGGAGCAGCAGTGACATACTGTGGCTGCTTTTATAAATCACACCCTGGAGGATGTGCTCCATGGCTTGGTATATTTGGAGATATTATGAAACAGACCCCCTTTTAAACCAATCTTACTATAAAGTAAAAAACTAAATACAATAGAATACATAATTTTTCAGGTGAAATAATGCTCATTTAGGACAAAAACAAGTGTGATGAGTAGTGAAGTCTTTGAGATTTTTATCATCAAGTTATAAGGTGTTGTGTTAGCAGTCAGTATTTTGCTTCTTTGCATACTAAGCAAAATGTTTTTTTTTCTTTTCTACCCCCACTCCTCTTCACCCCCCACCCCCAGGCTAGACCCTATGAATTCTGCCAGGAAAAATCCAGTCATAATGACCAGTAACGAATCAGAAAACTGTGAGGGAATAAAAGCACCGCTATTTGATTTTGTGAAAGAAGCTGCAGAACTGAAAGCTCCCCAAGTTGGAAGTGGTTGTTCCTTTCTGGCACTGTTTGAAGATGAGAGCCAACCAATCTACAATAATCCTTCCACAAAGCATTTTAATCTTTTTGTTAACCAAAGCAGTACTGACATTTTTTTCATCCATTCTGACGTTAGAAATCAAATGACTGACAGAAATTATCCTTACAACACTAGAAAGGCTTATCCTGCAATCAATAAAAAAAAAAGTTCTGTAGACAGACACCTTGAAGGCATTTTCACAACTCCAGAACTCGTTTTTCTTAAAAGTAACAATGACTCAAGTGCAAGCTACAAGGAAACCAGTGGACTTCATAAAACCAACCTGCAGAACTTTAATGAGGGACAGCACTACTTCATACCCTGTGAAAAGAAAGAAAAACATGCAAACCTTGAAAAAATTGGTGCGTATCAAGATTTAAAGGACATGTATTCTGGGTTTTATTCTCCTTTTAAAGACATATATTCTTATAACCAGAAATGTATCTGCCCTGACTGAAAACATGCCATGAATTTTCTGATTGCGATCACTTAATTTTAAATCCAATTATTTATTTTAAAAACTTGACAGAAAGCTTTGTTTTCAAATTGCATTTATTGTATTACATTTTAAAATCAAGGTTTACTTTTTTTTAATTTAGAGACATTTGCTTATCACCATGATCAGCAGATTAACTTAAAGGAGAATGTGCAGAATTATTCAAGAAAAAAAAGGTGAGTGCCATGGAAATTATCAAACTATTAACTATTGATTACTGCAGAGACCTTGCTGAATTGGAGAAATCCTGCCAAGAGGACGGGAAGGTAAAATTCTAAACAGTATTACCGAGGAGTCAAGTTTTCCCAGTGAAAATAGTAGTGTATAATGTGAATAAACTTATGCACAGGTGAGCCCCTTATACCTTTGCTCATCTGCCTATAATAAGTACAGAGAAATACTGCTTCATGGGACAGTTTTAAGTTCCTGAAATTAAGATCTTGCTTTGGCTTTCCCCCCTAAAAGACTCTGCCACATTCCACTGGCTGCAGGGGAAATTAGTATCTTCCCTGGGCTAAAGTAAGCACATGTGAATGCCCCATATTTTACAAAAGACATGTTTTTCAAAACCTCTGATCCATAATATCTTCCATTTTACAAAACAGCACTATCTTCTTCCATCTCTCCAATTCCATTTTGCATTTCAACAGAAATGAAGTTTATGAAAAACAGATTCTTGGTGTAAAATCTCAGTTCAAAAATAAGTTCAGTCATATCAATAGTGGAAAGCATTTTATGGTTACTGAAGACAAAATAAAAGTTGAAGACAGAAAAGTCACAAGTGAGGACTTTAACTCAGAAAGAAAATAAAAATACAAATAAGGGAAAAATCACTTACAAAGAACTTTGTGTTTGCATTACTCAGGGATGACGAGTCCATGAAAGAAACAGCCTGGAGACAGAACCAGCTCTTTGGATTTGAAGAGGTAACTTTTTAAAGAGACATATTTTTTGTCAAAGCTACTGTTTGCAACGTTCGTTTGAGGCAGAGAAGGAATATCCACAACAGTTAGAAACTGAATATAGCTTCACTGAATTAACTTCTGTGGAAGCTTCTTTGCCATCATTGTTTATAAAAGGAGTTCAGAAAGAACTGCTTCTAGTGAAGTGGTTCAGATAGACAGCCCTTTCAGGTCCACAGTTCACGTGCTTTGATTCACACCTCAGCTGATGGCTGAAATACATTGTGTAAGTTACCCATCAACTCTTAGGATCAAATTCTGCAGGCAGTGCCCAGACATTATATGCAGGATGCTTCAGTATTGTAAAGGATACATATACTGGCACATAGCCTGTTAGATGTTTTGCCTGTAGAAGTCACCCAGGTACATATGGTTCTGCTCAGGGTACAAATACCTCTTAAAATAATTTGTGGTACAGTGCAGTGGCTCCTTTATGTAATATAGAAACTGAATGTTCCTCTTAACCCGAGGTGCTGATCCAGCTGAACCCTCACTATTAACACTTCATTATTTTTTACAGTTTACAATAGCACGAGAGAAAGAGTCTAAGTTTGGGGCAAGTTCAAATCTTCATGAGATGGAGAAAAGTTAGTACCATTTATATATTATTACTTTTTTTTTCTCCACATGTGAAATTGAAACAGTTACTTTTAAAGCCAGGGAGAATGATCTTTTGAGGATGTTACATTTGTTGAGGGCTTGTTTTTCTGATTCATACAGCACTGTAAAAAGACAAGTAGCATTACCAGGTAGCTAAGAACCATCTGTGTTTGCTTTTCCTTGAAGAGACATTCTCTTCCATTAGACTATATGCTGTCATTCCACATGTGGACAGAGGGAGGGGAGTCAGCTCCCTCAGTAGCTGTAGCTGTAGGGTCAGCTGTGCTGGCTGCATTTCAGAGCAGAAGATCTCTCATGGGCCTCCAAGAAAAAAGCATGTAACTTGTATGGCAGCCACTGTGCACATGGAGTCTGCTGTGTTCTCTCACAGCCCTTGCTCTGCAGAGTCCTTCTTGCTTTGGGTAGCACAGTTCTGCTGCTGGTGCAGCTGCTGATTAACAGCACAGCTGAAGCTTTGGGGCACCTGTCTCACAACTTCTGCTAAGATACGTTTTCCTGAGAGGAGAAGAACTGGCTAGTGCCTTAGATTGCCTAGATTGAACTTGCTAACATTTTATTCTTTAAACAGTATCTTAAAACTGCATCAGAAATAATGTTTAATTCTACATGCTGTACTTGAGAATTGGATCTTTGAGGAGTTTCTGGTGAGTAGCCTTTCTTTTTCATCTATTTTTCAAGTTATGGAGTCACCACTCAGCAGCCAGTCTTACAGTTACTCTCCAAGGCAGACCGAGAGCTATTTGAGCTGTAGTCCTGACACAGTGAGTACACCCCACAACCTTTGAGGGTTGGCAGGGCTTCATTCAAATCACATCTCCATGCCTGAGGGCATCTAAGGGTGGATGTAGCTGGAATCTTACTTATGGTTTTGCCTTGTACAAGGCAAATTCATGTGTGAGGAGGACAAGAAATTATTAGCTGTAAATTTTCCTAAGTAGTTTAACAGAGATGTGGTCTGTTCTGTTGATAGTGCTTGGCCATGTGGAATTACAGTAGCATGACTGTAGGAAGATGCTCTTCCTTTGTGTATAGCTGCCTTACATTACATGCCTGTAAAGCAGAAGGATTTGACACACGGTGTTTTCAGCCATTCTTGAACACAAAAACATCATGGCGTGTGAGTATAAATTGCACGTGAGCGTGAAGGTCTGCATTGGCACCGAAAGCCAGGAGTACATCCTTGGGAAAAGAATGAAAAAAAACACAAACAACCTAAACCAGACAGCTCTGGCCTTTCTGTTTATTTGACTAACTTAGTTATTAGTTAGTCATTAACTTAGTCCTTAGTTATTGAACTATTTAAACAGTTGCAATTGCACAATTCTATTCAAACAGTGTGAAGAGGAAGACACAGCCAAAAAGACAGAATATCTGAATGAACAGTCCTTGAAGACACATGATGCCAACCTCTCAGCAAGCAGAGAGGCCCCCAAGAGCTTCCACACCAGAACTGTGCCTCTCCAGCCCAGCAGTAATTTGTCTAGAGAAGAAGCAAACATTCTTCAGGATAAAGGCTTAATGTTTTGCACCATAGAGGACAAAAATAAAAACCACGCTGCTCCATCCGAGGGCAGCTCATCACACCGAGCCCTTAAGAGAGAGCACGTCACTCGCAGCACCAGGTGTGATGTTTGGTCGCAGACTGAGCGCTCTGTGACAGAAGTAGAGAAGGCGGATGTGGCCACTCAGTGTGGCACCCTGCGGGTGTGCAGCTGTGGGGGCTCCCTGCCCGCAGCCCGCAGCCCAGTCGGGGTCCCTCCTCCCCGCACCGCCGGCACCGCGGGAGAAGACGAACTGCCAGCGCAGGAGATACCGCAGCCCGCGGGCGCCGGCAGCGCGGCCGGGACTGCTGCCCTTCCTTCTGAAGCCGAGTACCTGAGTTTGGCTGGCAAAAGGACTCTGGAGGTGCTGAACTACATTGATAAAATGAAGGAGAGAGATAAGCAGTGACCAACTAGAATGGCATGGGGGGAACACAGAAGTTTTGTTCTGTTCTCAGTGTGTTTCATTCACTTGGCATGTTTTGATTTTTCTAGCCTGGTTGGACAAAAAATATTTTTGCTGTTTGTTTGCTTTAAACTATTAATACCTATGGATTTCTGTCTAACTACTGGTATCTCTAAATATGGGTTTCTATAAATATCCAACTGTTAACACATGGGTTTACAATACCCTAGTAAATATAAGCATTAGGAATTAGATTGGCTTTCTCACCATATATCCATAGGATTCTGTAGTTTGGGATTGACTTTGCTTCTTTTAACGTAGTGGAAAGATGTTGTTTCACTTCAAAACATTTTTGATGTGGGTCTTAGTTCAGAGCTATTGTCTGGTTCTTATCCATTTTAACAGACAAACTCACCTTTTCTGTGTGTTCATACTAAATACAAAAATGGAAAACAATGGAAAATGTTGTTTTTCTGCACACATAGAATAGAATGTAATTTAAAAAGAACTAATTTATTATTTAAAAAAAATGCTGAGTTTTCCTTCCACAGCAGATCTATTGATACACTCTCTGGCTGTTAATACTAACAAATCTTTCATATGTTTCTGTATTCTGTCTGCAAATTAAAAATTTGAACTACTTTCCTCTTCAGTATTTATGTGAAGTCACAAATCACAACAAAATAAAAGTTTCTGATAATATTGCTTCTAGGTTATAGTATTTCCTTCTAAAAGGTTCCTAGTCAAGGTGGTAGGGTGATTCATTCTGTCACTGACATCTACTTATAGATCCATACACCTTTACTTCTACAGAGATATCTCTCTCTGTATATCTCATAAAAATGTATGTATGTATGTATATGTATAAAAAACTGTGTGTGTGTATGCACTGGCATTATCCAGCTGGCTGTGTGCAGGGATCCTCTTCCTTACAAACTGGGCTTGGGCAAAAGCTATGCTTTACTGTTCCCGAAACAGAGCAGGAGATTTGCTTCTCTAAGGTTATTATATTGTGCTTTCCCCTTGGAGTCTGCAGTTAAAAGATTCACTGCCCTTATTCCCACAATGTCATTTTTTTTTAATTTCTATGTTTTGTAGAAGGGGCGTGTCTCACCCAGCCTGGATGAGACTTGTCACCATCCTTTCTCCCTGCTCTCATCATCAAACTAGCGGTTGTGTTTGCTGCTGGGTTTTATTCTTGAAGCTAAGAGCCATTTTTAAAAGAAGGTCTACATTGCTCAACAGCTTGAGGTTTATAGCTATGCTATTTTAAGAATAGCACCTCAGATATTTCAGTGGATTTTTCTTTACTTAGAAGAACATAGCTTTGTCTTCTATATGTATAAATTGCATCCATGGGAAGTGGTTTGCACAGCCCAACTTCTGAAACATGTAACTATTGTTTAGGCAATTCACTGCCCACTTCCTAAGGTTTGACATAAGCAGATTTTCTTTTTAGATTGCCTCAATTTAATGTCAAAGCAGACTCCCTAGTATTTATTTTTTAAGCTGCAATATTCATCTCCACAGGAGCTATAATTTATTTGAGTAACAGCTGTGATTTGCTGAAAGCTCAGCTGTTACCAGTGGTTTCTAAGGCACAGTTGTTCACTCAGTGTGACAAAGCCAGTTGAGATTATGCCACACCAGCAATGGCCCATGCTGACTCAAATTAGGACATCTCTGCCTTCCCAGCAGTGTCCCGGTGTGTACCTGCCAGCCTTTCCAGTGGTGCCTGTCTGATGTCACAGCCTCCCCCGTGGCTGACGCTGCTCCATCGCCCTTGGCCTGTCAGCCTCCTGCAATACACTATGGCAGAGGCCAGTGGGTGGCACATTACAGCTAAAAGCTCCAGCACTGTGTGCTTTAGACTTGAGGGTTTTTATTATCCCAGCAGATGTAAAATTGCCTCATGGTCAGAGAGTTCTTTGGTGTTTGTGTTAGTGAGGTACTGAAGTGACCCAAACGGAAGTGAACTGCCGTTAACCCGCAATGGAAGTTACACTCCTGATTTCTGTGACAGTGGCATTTTTGCTGGGACTTCTAAATTGTGGTTTGTTTTACAGTGGAGCGAGCTACCCAAGTTCAGGCAGATACTCCTGATCTGCAGAACTGATCTGTGAGCAGACACACTCCCAGTCTGCTTCTGTGAACCTACAGGACAAAGAATGGAGGTTGGAACCAGGAAAAGAGAGCTGGTTGCACCATATGGATGTATGTGTGGGGGGTTTCAAATGCTCTTTATTGAGTTACCTCTCATATTTATCATCACTTAGAGCCTTTTCGTGGGTATTGCTTATTTTCACTTCAGCCACTAGCATAGAAGCTCCCACAATTTGTCTGGTTCCAGCCAGGTTCCAGCCTAGGCTGCACCATTTCTCAGTAAGGACTAAAATTCCACTGCTTGAGCCAGACACACACCTCCTGACTGGCTGTATGTAAGAGCTGCACACATGTCTCTAGTGCAATAATTCACCACTTGGGATATGTCAATCACCGTAGATAATCATGTTTCAAAGTCTTCGGATGAGACTGTATGAAATTCAACTACTTTACAATTTTTACCTGTAATTGCAAAGCAATCAGAAGAAGAAAACTATCTTTGTAACTGGTTTGTGTGCTGGCAATGATGACAAGTAAAGCAGTGTGCTCTTTTTAGCTACTAGAGAAGTATTTTAAAGTATTTATGTTACTATTATTGCATTAAAAGAGACTCCTGCTTTCTCCTTAGCTCAGCACCAGTCTCCCCCTCTGCTCAGGTGCTTTCTTTCCCCTGATTTTTTTGTTATTTCTGGGAAGAGCTGAGTTTGATTTAATAGGAAGTAGTAGCCTCAAATCATGCTTTCTTCAGCTAATAATTCAGCATCTGATGCTATTAACCCACCAATATTTGTAACCTACAGTAATGACTGTCATCTCACTATATACATTCAGGCACCACCAGCCTTCTCTGAGGCACCAGCATAGGCAGAGATGGTCCTTTTTCATCCACATTATTCTTCCTGGCAGTGTGCTAAGCCTCCAGGGAGGCCATGGAAATATCCATGTTGTTAACTGTGTTTGGTAAGCATCAATTGTAAGTACAGTATTCTTGTTGAGGAGAAGGACAGAAGGGTACCTGTACTTAACCAAAAACCAGGAGCACTTTTTTATTAGTGGCACTCAAATGCTTCTAAATACAGATTGAAAGAAAGACTCTCTTACTGAAAGTGCTACCATAAGCTTCAGTCAGAATCAGTTTTAATATGCAGCTGGTAACTTTTTTTTCCCTCTGAAATCAACTCTAATTACAGTAACCTGCAAGGTAAGGTTTCTGGGCAAGCACCAACAGAAGTTTGTTTCATTAATGGGCAGTTTATTGCTGGATGTTATGCCAAGAGCCTCCACAGAGGCTTTGCAAAATTTCATGAAGGATTACGGGAAATGAGAGGCTTAAGTCTTCATACAAGTGATTGTTTCTCTGATAGAAACTGCTTGTGAATTGGCTTTTTAAGGGTTTTAGCAGATAGCAGATTGAGGAAGAATGAGGTTTCCTGGAAAAAATATTACCAACTCTCTGCATAAAGTGCCTAATCTGTCCGCACTAAAGCGAATCTTTCTGCAACACTTCTTCAGCCTCTTCTCACTGACAGCCTCTGGTGGGTTAGAGGTGACAGTCCCAGTCACCCAAATCAGGACTGGCTTCTCCAGGGCTGGTGATGTCGAACTCCAGCTAGGTCTCCTGACTCTGTGAGCTGAGCACTAAACATTCACCCTCTCGCCCAGCCACACTGTGGTGACTCCACACCCTCGTGGTGCTTAGTCTGGGTGCCACAGCCCTCTGGATGTGAAAGCCAACGGGACCCTGCAGCACGCAGGTGGTGCAGAGGATGCTGATGCATCTCAGATCTGTGTGAGGTGGTGGGGAATATAGGCCCAAGAGATAGAGGGTTGGCGAGTGAGTGAAGGTAAGGCAGGAGGCTGAAAGAGGCCCGTTTTATTATTTAATAGAGCTGAGAGAAAACATGTCCAAATCAACCATTTGTGCACATTTGCGGAGAGAAGGCTGTGATTTAGTGCCACTGGCCTGGCCCAAGGACACAGAGCTGTGGCTGATCACGGGACAAACCAATACATCATATTGCAGAAGATTTACTTTGTTCCCCAGGCTGGAGTCATTACTGGGAAACAGGAGGCCTGTAAGGAGATTTGCTCTCCAGAGAAGCTGCATGCTCTCCAAACAGATGAATTGGAGAACCCCAGACCAGCCGAAGCTGGCAGGGATCCCCGACCTTGCCCAGTGCAAGCACCACTGGGAGCAGAGCCAGCTGGAGCGGGATACTTTGGGCCATGGTCAGCTGCTATCACCAGACACCCAGGCTGGGGGAATAAGCCATGCCAGATAGGAGACCCCAGAGAAGCTGTGCCTGCTCACAGCAGCTGCTGCAGATGGCGGCAGCCACTGCCTGAGTGCTTTCTTCCCTGTGCTGTGAGCAAGGCAGGAGCCTGGGGCTGGAGGAAGGGGAGCTGTAGACATGTGAGGAGCGAGGCTGGGTGCTGCTGCCCTGCCCTGCTCCACCTTCTTGGACCACAACTTCTGCCTCTTCTGCCTCTATTCACCCACATTTCCCTGCAGCAATGAAGAGCAGCAGTGTTGCACCCCAACACCAGCTCGTCCTCGACTGCCAAAGCCGCAGTGCCTCGTTCAACAGCCTTGGGGCTGCACTAACAACAGGCACTGATTGCTCTCCCACCAGGGACCAAGGGGGCCCCAATGCCCTCAGCATCTCCCTGTGAATCCCACCCACCAAAAGGGAACTTGACATATAGAGAGACTACGAAAGCTATCTCATCTGGTACCAGGCTGGGAGTGGCAGTCAGCTTTCACTCAGCTTACAAAATTTTTGGTTGCTCTTGATTTTTTATCCGTCATTTTTAGCAGCCCATGAGAGGAGAGCAGTGGGGACACCAAGCCTCAACTTAGTTCCAATATTGCAAGGGGAAGCTGCCTCTTCCTCAGCAACCCCAGCCAGTGTGGGGGTCTTGGGTATCCCAAATACCAGGGAGAGCATGGGGGAAGCCACATAACACCGGACTGACTCTGACTGCAGTCACATCTTTTGACAGTCCTACAGGGCACACTCACATCAGACATCTTGGACATGAAGGAGCTCCCTGGGAGCAGTCAGACAGGGTTTGATGCCATCTCCCCATGAATATATTAAAATAAGCATCAATTCCACAGCAATGCTTACTCTAAGGCACCACTTCCCAATGGGGACCTGGCCACCTGCTGCAGGCCACAACTGCCACTTTAGGGATAGAGAAATCATTTGGCATTCGCAGGATGGCACGTTACCTGACTGCCAACAACCTCCCTTTGCAAGGACAGCTATGCTAAGTGACCCTGAATGAAGGCTTCAGGCAGAAAAACTGTACACAGGATTTGGTGACAGCTGGCTGGGGACATAGGGTCTCATCAGCCTCAGCTGTGGAAATGGCTTTGAGAAGAAAAAACTGCGGGGCTGGGAAGGCTGAAAATGCCACAGCACTATCCAAGGGGACCAGAGACACGTGAACAACAGATCAAGTGGGGCAGCATCAGCCCTGAGCATTGTAATACAAACCCTCTCCCTAGTTTTGGGGAATGGCACTAAACCAAAAGCTGGTCAGGTGTGCTACAGCTGCCTGTTCAAAACCCACCCTTCATGCTTTGCCTGGTGGAG